CCATTTTACAGATGAGGAAACTAAGGCAAGAAGAGGTTAAGAAACATGCCCAGGGCCACACAGTTAGTATTAAGTTTAATGGGGAAAGGGATAAAAGATAAAAATGCAAATAACCCCAATGCCCAATAGAAGCGTGATAAATACAGGGGAAGTACAGACAAAATGCTGTGAGATCATAGAAAGGCCCTGAGGATGTAAGATATTAGGGCTAGAATAATATCTAGCATTTCTATAGCACTACAATATCTTCAAAATGCTTTATCTTACTTGAGCCTCACAACAACCCTAGCAGTTGAATGATACCATTATCCCCATTTTTACAGATAACGTAACTCGAAGCAGACAGAGAGTAAGTGACTTGCCCAGGGTCACGCAGGTAGTGTCTGAGACCAGATTTGAACTTAGGTCTTTCTGACTCCAGGCCGAGCACTCTATGCATTTTGCCACCTAGCAGTCTCTAGAAGATTTTTTGTGGTGAGAGTTCATGATTCCCCCAAATGGAGAAATCCCTTGTCCAGACACAGGGCTTTGTTTTTCTCATCTGTCCTCTTTTGGTTGAGAAAAGGCACTCAGAGGCTAAGGGATGGGAAAGAGGCTGGACTGAGGAAAAGATGCGGAGTGGAGAGAATCCTGGAATGTTAGGGCTGGAAGAGGCCTGAGGGAACATATGATCCAACCTCTTTTTGCAGGGGAAGGAACTGAGGCCTAGAAAGAGGAAATCATAAAATCAGTCTTTAAGTATTTATCCACAACTGTATTAAGTGCCCACAGTGTGCCAGGTACTATGCTAACCCTGGGGCCATAAGTATATAATAATAAATGCTTAACTGATTGATTGACAAAGTAGAAGCGTACAACTATTTTTCCCTTGGAGCAAAGGACTAGACCTGAAACCAGGATATTAGCTGGGACGGGAGGTAAACTTAAGCTAGAAAGCAGATTCAAAGAGAAAGGGCTAAGAGAGGCCCAAGGTGGGGGATCAGAAGGAGGGCAGAAGAGTCAAGATACCGTCTCAGGGCTCTGGTGTGGCCATCTTGTGTTTGATTCTGTTTTGTCCTACTACTGTTTTCCTAAGGAAGACATGAGGCAAAAAGTATGTGTGAGCTACAGAACAGGGGCCCAGGCCTGGCAGAAGGAACCTGGGCATTCTGCAGCGAGGAGGAGACAAAAGACTCGGGGGTGGGGGGGGGGGGAGGGACTAGAAGAGAACAAGAGCTGAGGATAATGAATGGGGCTTTTTCCCATCCCCAGGCAACTCAACCACAATCTCTAGGGAAGGGGCTCAAAGGAAAAACTTCAATTAACACACTAAGCAGTGGGGTAGGGCAGAATATCAAAAGGGAAAGAAACTTGAAGAAGACCAAGTTAATTCCTGGGTGTCCAAATGTATAGTTGGGGTGAGGGGAACTGCAGGGGAATTAGAATGAGGGCTCTGGGCTTCCCTAGTTCATCCTATCCATCCATCCATCCCTCCCTCCCTTCCTCCATCTGCCCATCCATCTATCCATCCATACCATGTGGGTATGTGTGTGTGTGGGTATGTGTGTATACACACACACACATACATATACATATATTTTGTTGTTCAGTAATTTCAGTCATCTCTGACTCTTCATGACCCCATATATATGTATTTATATATCTATGTATATATAAAGGTATTTATATGTATGCATACATACATACCTATATATATATACAGTGAATTCAGTGTCTTCTCCAATCTTCTAAAGTGCCAGGGGTGGGGAACCTTCGGCCTCGAGGCCACATGTGGCCTTCTACATCCTTGGGTGCAGCCTTTTGACTAAGTCCGAGATTTACAGAACCAATCCTTTTATTAAGGGGATTTGTTCTGTGAAGTTTGGATTCAATCAAAGGGCTGCACTTGAGGACCTAGAGGGCCACATGTGACCTTGAGGCCAAAAGTTCCCCACCCCTGTTAGGACCTAAACCCTGAGGGACTTCTCTAGACTGGGGGTCTCAGCCTCCCTCACCCCTCCCAATGGTATTGCCCTAGGGCCTGACTCTCCAGTCAAGGGAGCAAAAAAAAGAAAACAGATAGTAGATAGAAGTTCACATTTTCTTTAGCAGTTTAAAGTGCACAGATAGTACTTTTCCCATCAGTTTTCTAAGATGGAGTAGCCAGCCCCATTTTACAGATGAAATTGAGGCTGAAACACTGAGAGGAATTTTCCCAGAATCAACTGGTTGGTTAAGATAGCTTGGACTAAAATTCAGGTCAATACAATAGTTGATAAAAAACCTGAGTCATCTCTATGAACACTGAGAAAGAAGATAATATTCTTGGAGAAAGGTTAGAAAAGGCTCCTTGGGGCAGGTAGGTGTTGGAGTAAATAGAGCACCAGACCTGGAGTCAGGAGGACCTGAATTCAAATCTAGCCTCAGACACTTCCTAGCTGTGTGACTTTGGGCAAGTCACTTAACTCCGATTGCTTCTTCCCCGCCCCCCACCAAAAAAAAAAGAAAGAAAGAAAGAAAAGAAAAGGCTCCTAGGAAGAAGTCAAACCTGATCTGGGCCTCCAAGGAAGAGGATTTCAACCAGTCAAATTGGAGAGTGGGGGGTAGGAGAGGACGAAGTAAGGGAAGGACAGAGATGGTCTAAATGCATGCAACTGGGAAAAGGTGAATTCTGGGTAATGTACAGTAAGTTGGAACCAGATTATGGAGGGCCTTGAATTCCAGGTTACAGACTTTACCCTGTAGGCAATTGGGAACCACAGAAGATGACTGAGGATTAAGTCCAGTGTTATTGCCTCTAGATCTCCTCACAAGGTGAAGGGGTACTTCATGTGAGCAGATAGCCAGGACGTATCTTGTGAACATCTATGTAACTGGGAGGGTGGGATGGGGCATGTGACTCGTGAGCTGTTCCATGCATCCCCACGTGTGTGAAGTAGGTATTTTGTGACAAGTAGGAGGTCAGCTGCTATCTGCAGAAAGAGTATCTCCGGGTGATTTTGTAACTGTAACCACGAGTTGTGGTTTGTGGCCGGAAGCTGATGGGAAGATTTTGAGACAGAAGGTTCCATGGAGGTCATCTCGTTCAATTCTCATTTTACAGATGAGGAAACTGTGACCCAGGGAGAGGAAGTGACTTATCAAAGTTACGTAGGTAACAAGTGTCTAGGGGGAGATTCAAACTCCAGGTTCTCTAGAGGAAGGAGAGAACAATTCACGAGGTTCTAAATCCAGCTCCATTCCAGAGGGACTGGCTTTATTCTTCACAGAGTGCTCATCTGGCCCCTGGATGCTCCTGAGATAACTGACACTGATAGGTTTTAAAGGTTTTTTAAGTTTGAAAATGGGGGCTCACAGCAACGCTGTGAGATAGGTATTCTTATGCCCATTTTACAAATGAAGAAACAGAGGCTGAGAGGTCACATAACCAATAAGCATCAGAGGTGGCATTTGAACTCAGTTTTTCCTCACTGCAGCTCTAGCACTTTTTCTTTTATATTAGCCGTAAGATTTCCTGTGATTTCCCTGCTTGTGACCCTCGACAAATTTTTTTTCACCTCTCAGTGTTCCAGCCAATCCTCTAGTTGCAGAGAAACTACTGCTCTGCATTGGTAAAAGAAACTTAACTCATCTGGATTTCCTTAGACCAATGAAATCTCAGGGCCAATACCAACCCCATCAGCCTATTGTGCTCCTGTGCACATAAGCACACACATATACAGTAGATGCAGCATAACAGAGTTCTTATTGAATTGTCCTTGGAGACAGGAGACCTGGGTTCCAGTATGGCCTCTCACACAAAGTGATTGTGTGACCCTAGGCAAGTCATTTAACTTCTGTACCAGAGCCAGTTCTCTAAGACTCTTAAGTTGCCAACCAACTGATGATTTGCGTTGGTAGATGTAATTTCTGACCTGGAGTTCCCTATACTGATGAAGTCACAAGTCTGGCTAAAAAAAAAAAAAAAAAAAAAGACATACACACACATAATAACTAACATTTATATGGTTCTTACTATATGTCAGGTGCTGTGATAAGCATTTACCATTATCAGATCATTTGATCCTCACAACAATCCTGGGAGCTAGGTACTCTTATTATCCCCATTATGCTGGTGAGGAAACTGAGGCAGGCAGAGGTTAAGTGACTTGTCCAGGTTCTAGTGAGCATCTGGGGCTGGATTTGAACTCAGGGTCTTTCTGACTCCAGACCCAGTGGTCTATCCACTGGAAATAACTTTGATCACCCTGCTTTCACACTTGTCATCTATTGGGTGTAGAGGCCTTCTCTGTCCCGTGGTGCAGAGATAAACCTTTCCGGAGGACTTCCTCTGAGTCTTTCCAATCAGTTGGGTTTCTAGGCTTGTTGTCTCTCACTCTGAGCCCCAGAAAGAACTGGGTTCAAGTCCTACCTTTGACACATGACATGACATGGGGGTGGCTTTTCCCATCATCCCATTTTAATGAGTTCTTTTCTGCTGATTATCTTGAATAATGCTTTCCATTGCCCCCCTCCCCCATGCCAGATACTCCTCCATTGGTCTTTGGGTCACCTATAATTGTGATTCTTTGGCTACTGTGGTCTTCTGTGATTCGGAATCATACATAATAGCATCACCAGAAGAATGCTGGTGCTAAAAAAACATTGGTTTCATGTCAAGGAGTGGGAAAGCATGTTATTTCTGGAATGTAATACATCCATGGTGTCTATCCATAATATATATGATCCTTGCATTGTTAGTATCTGCAGTACCTGCAGCTCTGTCCCAAAGGAGCTGGTCTATTCCCCAGGTACATCCAGAAGCTTCTACAACACCCACCCACCCACCAATTCCATTAGGAACAGAGGTGAATTCCTACTGTCCCACACTCTCTCTAATCTTCTTGCCTGGATAAATTCCTTCCTTTAACAAACAGTTATAAATCAGTGTCTCTACTAGGCAAAGCACTGTCCTAGGTGCTGGAGATACAAAGGTCATGGTACAGACTATCTAAAGCTGTCAATGTCTTCCCATCCCTCAGAGTAAGCTGCATATGGAAGGTTTCCGAAGCCTGAAGGAAGGGGAGGCTGTGGAGTTCACCTTTAAGAAGTCAGCAAAGGGCCTCGAATCAATCCGGGTGACAGGGCCTGGCGGGGTGTTCTGCCTTGGGAGTGAGAGACGGCCCAAGGGGAAAACGCTACAGAAACGAAGAAGCAAAGGAGACAGGTATGATGATGGGGAGGGCAGACAGAGCTGGGCAAGGCTGTGAGGGGCACATTTAGATCTGGTACTGGAGTCTGGCAAAGGCCCTTTTGGTCTCTAATGGCTCCTTTCTCCCCAGATCCTCCTGAGGGTTGTTTCTTACTTTTCTAAGGGTTTGGAGAGACCCTCTTTCCCTGATTCCTGAGCTAGAGATCTGACACCTATCCCATTGCCCCCTCCCATGGGAGGTGGGTGGCAGAAAGAACCTTTGAATACAGTCCCCGATCCCATCCTAACCTATGATGAGGAGTTCGGGGCTCACAATGCTTATAGAGAAGTTTGCTCTAGAATAGGGAATCTCTATGTCTCCCATACTCAGATTATCAACCTCAACATCCTGTGGTTTAGGCAATCCACATTTCTATTGAGGAGAGGTAGAAAGAAGGAAAGAAAAGTGTTATGGGGGAGGGGAAGGAAAGGGGGATTGATGATAGGAATAAGTGGGGAGGGCACTTACCCTAGAGATGGCAGTCAAAAGAATTGACTTAGGGTTAGAAGATCTAGGTTGAAGTCCACTTTGCAACTGACCAGCTATGTGACCTTTACCTCTTTCAGGCTCAGTTTCTATATGTTAAATGATCTTTTGAGATCTATATCAGCTCTAGCAGTCTGATTCTAGTCGGGATCCTTATTGGGCAGATTTGGGGTTGAATTTGGTCTGTATTATCCACATACACCCCTCACCTCCACCCAGGAAAAGCCTGAGCCCATGGAACCACTAATTCCATGACCTTGGGCAAGTGACTTCCCTACTCTGGATCTCGGTTTCTTTATCTGTTAAGAGAGGGTATTGGAAGAGATGATCTTTTAAGATTTGGAGGTGCTAAGTAGTGATATGGTTTCTTCTAGGCTAATGAGGGACATGTAACAATGAATCCCACTGGGGAACCTTCTTCTCCCAAACTAGAATTGATAATCATAGCCCAAGCTAATAATTGAGCCCACTCTCTTGATTTGAATAATCACAGAGTCAAAAGTAGTTTGCTCAATGCCACAGACAGTTCTTCATGGAATCGTTTACCAATCGTCTATGCACAAGGCTTCTTAATTTGGGGTCCAAAAGAGTTTTTAAACAAAGTATTTTATATAACTATTTCATTACATTTTGTCTCCTTTATAATTCTATGTATTTTTACTTAAAAACATTATTCTGAGAAGGGCTCTACAGGTTTCACCAGACTGGGGTGGAGGGTGGGAGTGAGGTTGAGGATCATGGCACTAAAGAGATGAAGAACCCTTGATCTTTTCCAACTTCATTTTGCAAATGAGGAAACTGAGCCCCAGAGAGGAATGGTTATTTGTCCCATGTTAAACACATGGCAAATAGCAGAGTTGGGCATCAAACCCATATCTTCTCACTCCAAATCTAATATTTTCTGTCTTTCAATTGAGATCAGGGAAAGCTTCATGAAAATAGCATTGGAGGGAGGGAGGCTTTAAAGGATGGGGATGATTTCAGCAGGCAGGTACAGACAGCATTCCAAGTATGTAACAATAACCTTGGGGTGGGTGGAAAATCATAGACCCCAGGATGTGCTGGCAGAAAAGTTGAACTGAAGCACAAGGTATGTAAGAGGAAAATAAAGCTGGAAACAAAGGTTGGGGACAGATTATATAGAAGGTCTTAAATGCCAGGAGTTTAAGTATAATTAGATAGGTAATAGAAAAGTGCTGGAGATTTTTGAAGGGAGAGTGTTGATCTACCCTTAAATGATTTTAATCAATAATAATGATGCAGCAACTAGATGGCACAGTAAACAGATAGCTGGCCTGGAGTTGGGAAGACCCAAGTTCAAATCCTGCCTCACACATTCACTAACTGTGTGACCCTAGGCAAGTCACTTAATGTGTTTACCTCAGTTTTCTCATCCCTAACATGGAGATGATAACAGCACCTCCCTTCCAGAGTTATTGTGAGGATCAAATGAGATAATATTTTCAAGTGCTTTGCTAAAGAAGCAATATATAAATGCTAGCTATTATAATGATAATAGTGACTGGCATTTACCTAGTCCTTTAAAGTTTGTAAAGGGTTTTACATGTTATTCCTCTGATCCTCACCACAATCCTAGGGGCTCAGTACTATTGTTATTTCTACTTTACAAATGAAGAAACTGAGGCTGAGAGGTGAAGGTAGATCTGGCTGCATGTGCTAGATAAATTGGAGGGTGTTTAACACCATGGTTCTGCTTCTCCAGCAGATTTGACTCAATGTTAAAGAGCAAGAAAATGAAGATTTATTGGAGAGGACAAAAGCCCAAATGCTCTCAGGTTCCAGAAGATTAGTGTTTTTTGTGTATCTTGGTGCAAGGCCTGTTTTGTTAGGAAGTAGCTGCTCTGTGGGGTCCTTTGGCTTAAGGGCCCATGTTATGCTAGAGTATGCAAATCTATAGCTGTCCAGGTGTGCGACCTCTCCTTTCCCACCTCACAGGTGCTACAACTGTGGAGGGCTGGATCATCATGCCAAGGAGTGCAAGCTGCCACCCCAGCCCAAGAAATGCCATTTCTGCCAGAGCATCAGTCACATGGTGGCTTCGTGCCCCCTGAAGGCTCAGCAGTCTCCCAGTTCACAGGGGAAACCGGCTTACTTCCGGGAAGAGGAAGAGATCCACAATCCGGCCCTACTCCCCGAAGCTCAAGATTGAAGTGGGGTCTGGGGCCATCCAATGGGATGGGAAAGCTTTAAGGAGCAGGCGTCAGTCAACAGGGAGTGGGGGATGTCAGGGTGGGATGGGATGGGACAGGGTTGGGGGGGGGGCTAGCAGGCACTACTGAGTGTCTTGGGTCCAGAGTCCTCAGCACTGTTCCTTCCCCTCGAGGAGAGGGCAGAGGGGGATAGTCAAAGGCCCCTCCATCCATGGCCTGCCTCCATCCCAGAACCACCAGCCACATAAGCTATGGCTTGTCCTGAGGGAGACCTCAGTGACGGCAAGGGCACGGGGGGCAGGGAAAGAGGAGGATTCCTTAAGCCAGAGTGGCAGGAGGCATAACCTTGGATGGATGGACTAAAGCCCAGGGGCCCCCACCCCCACATCTTTTTTGCTGCCTGAGGACAAGAGTCCTTGGGTGGGGGTGGGGACAGTGGGAATGGTGGGGGATGGGTAAGGGTCCTCTTTGTCGTGGGTCTTCTCAAGGTTCAGGGCTCTACCCAGCCTCACCTCCCTCCCCTTTAGCAATGGGATTGAGGGTGAGACTGCTACAAGTCTTGCTCCTCTTCTTGCCCAGGGCACCCCCCCTCCATGTTGATTTTATTTATTTTGCTTACTTGGACGTCTGCACCTTGGGCCCTACACCTCCCCCCTCTGCACCCTCTGGGGGGGGGACCCCATTTCACAGGCGGGACATCAGCTGGCTCTGGCTGTGATGAATCACGTCTGCGGCTTTTCTTTTTTTGCTTTTTTTTTAATATAAATATTCTGGTTTTGTATTTTTGTATATTTTAATCTAAGAGGCCCTCTTTCCTGCACTGTGTTCTCAGGTATGTGAGCAATCTCAGGGATAATTCAGCGGCAGCTCTAGGACTACCCAGCGGGAATAAGTATATTCACTTCTTAACAACACAAAGACACAGCAGCTGATTGTATTATACAAACGACTTCAGTTCATCTACCTCGAGTTTGTGGGTTCTTCTTATGGGAGCTGTCCTCCTGTGCCCTTACTGACTCGCTCAGTCTTTCCTTCCATACACCCACTTTCTCACTCTGTCCTCCTTGAAAGTGTTAGATGGGGGGAGGGGAGAGGGTTAACTTTAACGGGGCATCCTGTGAGCATGCCTGCTTGTGGAGAGGAGGTTCACCCCAGTGATCACAGAGAGAAGAGGGAGAGAGAGAGAGAGAGAGAACTTGGTGGAGCTGAGCCAGCTGGCAGGCTTGAGATGTTCGTGGGAAGGGTTCCTGCCTTGACCTGTTGCCCCTTTGCAGTACAGTCAAACATCTTCCAGGCATGAGGCTTGGAACTTTTGTCCCACCCCACCCCAGATCTGTCTTCCAAACAGCTGGGCCATCTCTGCTCTGCACAAAGGTGGGTGTGAGTGTGAGGCAAGGCCAGGCAGGAAAAGGAGATGGGGATATATCTTAGATCTAGGGAAGTTTGAGTCACCCCCCTCTCTCTCCCCTCTTCCCTGGAAGAATGACAGATCTGACAGAAAATCATAAATGCCTCAGGTCTTTAACCCTTAAAATGCTGGACTTGTATTTTCTCCCCTGCTGGGTCTCAAGCTCAGGACCTCGTGGCTAGGATATCTGTATGCGGGACACTTCAGGGGCCTGAAAGTCTGAATACTGTCCTGCTCTGCTGTCAGTGCTCCTCGATGGCACTGATTCCATAGCAGCCTATAGAGAAAAGGGATTTGGTGAACAGAACTGGGAGATCTGTCCAAACCCACCTCACCGTCTCTGTGCTGAAATAGGGCAAATGCAATAAAAGGCATTGGGTGACAATGATGGAGTCTGATCCGGGTTTCTCAGATCCTACAGATGCTTCGTGCTCCCCTCCCTACCAGAATTTTCCCCTCTAGCGTTTGTGTCTGGGTTGTACTTGAGAGGTGGGTTAATCTGTGTAAATATGCTCTCAGTCTTTCTCCACATTCCCTTGGGGTTTTTATTGTTTACAAACTTTTTTTTTTGTATTGAAAAGAAAATAGCCAAAATATCTCTTGACAAAGGGATTCTGCGCCAGGCAAACAGAGAGCTTGAAACCAGGACTTGGTTGGTTCCTCCTCTCCAAGGTTCCGGATGACTTTAGCCCTCCTTGTTTCTGTTTCCCCCGCTGCCGTTAACGAGACCCCAAAGCCCAAACCTTCAATTCTTGCCCATCATTCGCTTCCCCCCAAAAAAACTGCATGTTTTCCCAAATGCCTTCGTAGATTTCTGCAAAAGATCTAGGGAACCAGGAACCCATTGCCAAACACCCTCATGGGTGAGTCTCTTCCTTGGTATGGGAGAGTTGCCAAATGTTTACTTGATTTTTTGGGGCCCAAACCCAATTCATGGAGCAATGTCAGCCTTTGGAGGGATCCTGCGGGAGGACTGGGAAGGGAAGGAGTTGTGGGGAGACCTGGAGAAGGGAAATGAATGTATACCCAAGTTCCCACCAAGGATCTCTTTTCTGTTGGTGCAAGAAATTCTTTTCAAAGTGGCCACAAGATTGTCTTATAGGAGACGGACGAATGTAACTCCATGTTTACTGCTAGAAACCAAAGCGTTTTGTGAAATTCTTGAATTTATATGAAGGGAGGAAGGGAAGGAGGAGGGAAAGAGGATGACTGTATTAATCTGAGTCTTTCCTCCCCTCCTTTGCCCTCATTCCTGAGCTGCTGGAGACTGAGCCCCCTTGGGCAGCGCCCTGATCTTGGGGCAAATGTGTTTGATACTTTGCAGTTAGGGCTTCTTCCTTTCCTTTTTCCCTCCTTCCCCATCTTGTTTTGTGACACATGCTAACCCCTTCCCCTTTCTCCCTCTTTCTCCCTCCACCCTGGGAAAATACAATGAATGAATAAAGACTTATTGGAACTGAGAGCCTCTGCTGTCTCTTTCTTATCAGACTTTTGGGCAGTTTTTCTCCTTTCCCCCAGGGAAACTTCGCCATCCCCCATCTTCACCCCCCACCCTTTTGCTGTTTCCCCTCTGATAGGGAAGCTGGGGCCCTAGGAGAGGAGCAGTTAAGTTACTGACTAGTCTTAGCTTATTAGGACTGAATCTTTAAAGGCCAGTCCTCTTAGCACCTAATTACAGCAGATTTTTGTTTCTGGTTCAGGCCTCTTGGAAGCTGCCACATTCAGGAGGGGATTAAGGATTTGGCATGCATGAGAATGGGGTCGCCTGTGCCCCTGGCTGGGATGAAAGGCTGGGGCCACAGCTTGGGGCATGAGACCCTAATAACACTTTGTCCAGCTCCTGGCGCCTTCTCCCTCAAAGACCTTTACAAACCATCATTAATTAACAGTCCTACGGGGAGGGAGGTTTGAAAGCGGGAAGTCAGGGAAACTGAGGCAAGGAGAATTGGCCACCATATGAGTAAACGACTAGTGAGGGTGTATAAGGAGATGACAGCGACCTATGCTAGAATGAACCAGATGAGCCCATGATTTCCCCAATATACCACCCCCTGGCCCAAGTCAGAAATCTTTGTTCCTCTAGGTCTCAGGATCAGAAGGGGCAGGCCTAATTATCTAATGCTTTTTGTGTTTACAAAGAACCTTCTAAAAAAATTTTGTAAATATTCTGGGGAATGAGGAGGAATGTCTTTCTAAGTATCCTCTAGTATGGCCTGTGTGTCAGTACACATACCCTCCTCACACCCCAGAGGCCTCATCAGAACAGGGGTTCAGATTTCCCCATTTCCACTCCAGTGCTCAGACTAACCTTTTGTGGCCCCTTTAGGAGCTGAATTGAGTCAAATGTCAAAACTGACATTTAAAGAGTCAGGATGTTGAAAACGGGACAAGGAACAAGAGAGCTTTAGAAAAGCCTGTCTTGCCTTGACACATCAGGCCCAAATTAGTAGAGTATATGGTAGAACTATCTCCAATCTGTTTTGGGCCCACCATCAATCCATATGACCAAAGGGAGATTTTTCTTCAGGCAAATATAGGATCGAGAGGGCTTAATAATGGCTCATATTTATATGAGTATAAATAAATTATCTCACAACAACTCTGAAAGTTAGTTGTTATAATTGTCCTCACTTTATAGATAAGGAAATTGAGATTAAGGGTCATAGCCAGTGGGTGTCCTTGGCAAGGTTCCTTGATCTGATTCTTTCACTAACCACCCACCTCCTCTTTTTAGGCAAGCATCCTTAACTTCTTGTTAGCTTTTACTTAAAGGTGTCTTGGAATCCTTCAGCAGTGTGAGAAGGCTAGGGCCTGCTTCTCAGAATAATGTTTTTAAATGCATAAATACATAGAATTACAAAGGAAACCAATGACATTGAAATACAGTTATCAAAATGCCGAAAATGGGTTCACAGACCCTTTCCCCAGAGGCTTCCCTTCCTATAACTTTGATGGACTGGTCGTAAGACTATGTAATTTTTTTTAAAATAAAGGCATTCTGCTAACTTCCAGGAACACTGTCAGAATCTGTGGTTGTCTGAAAAGCACATAAATGACATGGATATTTCTTTATTTGAGTCGACTCTCTCCCCTTTCTCTTTTCATGAATTCTGAGAAAATTAAAACTCGAAGGTCATAGTTCTTGGAACGTAAGGGTGACCTGCCTATTGGAAAGATATTGGTCCTGCGGGAAGGAGTTTGGGATTCTAGCCCCTGATCAGACATTAACTTAGTGGGTGATTTTGAGTAAGTCACTTATCCTCTGTGGCCTCGGTTTCATAGAAGCAGGAAGAAAATTTCTAAGGAACTTTCTTGTTCTGGTCAGGTTATGATTCTGCGGCCTCCAAGCTTCTGATTAAAAACAAACCTAATAACCCATCAGCTGCTTTTGAGTCATTTTGTGGTCATCTTACTGAAATTCAGAAACCAGTTCTGGCCCCAACCTAATATGTATGGGAGGAGAGGAACAAACATTTATTAAGCACTTACTGTATACTACAGGCACTATTAAGCACTTTACAAATATCTTATTTGATTCTGGCAACTACCTTAGGAGGAAAGTGCTGTTATTATCTCCATTTTACAGATGAGGAAACTGAGGCAAGCATTTGTTAAGTGATTTGCCTAGGGTCACACAGGTAGTAAGTATCTTGAGGTGGAATTTGAACTCCAGTTTTCCTAGTTCCCTTTATAGAAGGTCACTTCCAACTCAGGAGTCAGGAAGATCTAGCACATAGTAAGCACTTAATAAATGCTAGTTTCCTTCTGCTTCTAAGACTCTCTCATTCGAAGTTCCAAAGTCCCTTCCAGCTCTCTGATATTCTGAGTTCTAAGGGCCCTCCCAGCTCTGACATCCTGTGTTCTAAGGGCCCTCCCAGCTCTGACATCCCCTGTTCTAACGGCCCTCTCACCTCTGACATTCTCACGTAAGGACCTTTCTAGCTTTGACTTTCTAAAAGCTTCCACTTTCCGGCTATGACCCACTGTCTTCTAATTCTTCCTCCAACTCTGCCATTTCTTGTTCTAGGCTCCCCTGCCCAGTTCCCCCTTTCTCCGCTCCCATCCCCAAGGGAAGGGGCTGCCATTACAGTTCTCTGTGCTCAGATCTCTTCTAACTCCTCTTGCAGCCCCCTGGGGAGCTGCTTCTTTAGCCCTAAGGAGCCCTAATTTCGCCCTCCCAATTCCTGCCCTGGGAGTCAGCAGTAGCCCATCCCCGTGGCCCCCCTCCTTGTCTATGTGGTCTCGTCCTCAGACAGCCGCAGGGACGTCACCCCCTGTCCAAGTCCCAATGGTACGCGCCAAGCGCCCAGCAATCACAGAGGCGCGAGGCCCGCTCACTGTGCGCATGCGTGGCTGCAAGCCCGCCGCGGGAGGCTCTGAGATTGCGACACGAAGGCGAACGAGGGAGGAGGTGGCGAGTCAAGGCGGCTGGCGATGACGTATTCTTCAGGCGACGGGCTCTGAGGAAGTACCGGCCTCCCTCTGAGATCCCTGAAGGTTCCTGGCGGAGCAGAGCCGGGTCAACGGCCAGTGGTGAGGAAGGCAGGGCTCCCAAGGCTGCTGGAGTTGGGGTGAGGGAGGACTGGGGGCCCTGGGGAGGGGCGCCCTAGGGGGAAAGGAGAACGGAGCGAGGAAGGCAGGAGGGTCTCTAAGGGGAGGGGAACAGGAAGCGGAGGGACAGAGAAGCAATGGAGGAGGGGGGCTACCTGGAGGAGGAGGGGGAAAGAGAGGCGAGGGCTACCTGGAGGAAGAGGAAGAGAGGCGGGGGCTATCTGGAGGAAGAGGAAGAGAGGAGGGGGTCTGCCTGGAGGAGGAAAGGGGAAGAGAGGCGGGGGCTACCCGGAGGAAGAGGAAGAGAGGAGGGGGGTCTGTCTGGAGGAGGAGAAGGGAACGGGGGCGGCTGTCTGGAGGAGGAGGGGGAAAGAGAGGTGGAGGTCTGCCTGGAGGAGGGGGAAGAGGGGGAGTTGCCTGGAGAAGGAGGGGGCTGCCTGGTGTAGGGGAGAAGAGAGGAAGGGGGCTGCCTGGAAAAGGAGGGGGGCTGCTTGGAAAAAGAGAAGAGAGGAGGGGTCTGCCTGGTGGAGAAGGAGGAGGGAGGGAGGAGGGGGCTCCCTGGAAAAGGAGGAGAGGGGAGGAAAAGGATGGGGTTGCCTGGTGGAGGGAGGAAGAGAGGAGGGGTCTGCCTACAGGAGAAAGGAGAAGAAAAGGAGGGGGCTGCCTGAAGGAGAAGAGAAGAAATGGCTGGTTGGAGGAAGAGAGAGAGGAGGAAAGAGGAGGGAGGCTACCTGAGGGAGTTCCCAAAGGCAGGGGGGAAAGAGTAAGGGGTGACCTAAAGCAGGATGAGAGGAAGAAGAGTAGGGGTGTTCTCTGAAGGAGGAGAGGAGGGAGCCTCTTGAGGGGGAAGGTGCGGAGTCAGGGAAAGAAGAGAAGAGAAAGAGAAGCTCTTAGGGGGTGTAGGGGAAGGAGAAGAGAGGAGAGGAGGAGGCTCCTTTGGGTATGGGAGGGGGAGAAGGAGAGATCACTTAATGGGTGCCCTACCATGAGGGTTATGCCGGGGTTATCTTGGTTTTGAGGGAGTGCTGGGGTGGTAATGGAAAGAGTATCAGAGCTGTTGTCGTTATCTGTTGTTCAGTTGTTTCAGTTGTGTCTGACTCTCTGTGACTCCATTTGGGATTTTCTTGACAAAGATACTCGAGTGGCTTGCCATTTCCTTTACTGGATCATTTTAAGAATAAGGAAACTGACTTGCTCAGGGTCACACAGCTGCCAGTCTTCCGAGTTCAGGCCCAGCACTCTGTGCACTATGGCGCCACCTAGCTGCCCTCAGAGCTATTGTGGTCTCTTTTCCTTGAGTGTCCCATACTTGTATATTCTGTAGGTCTGGAGTGGAAAGTTGTTCAAGGCCTGTACCTATAAGATCATCTCCAGCTGGGGTTTTATTTCTGGCTATTCCCTAGTGTCCAAGTGACAGGAAAAGGTGATATCCCCTCGAGGCCCTGTTTTAGCTAGATCCTGGAATTTCTTATTGACATTTGTTGACTTTTCCCAGGTGCTGCTCGTTCTCAGGAGACCCAAGTCTAGTTTCCTGAAGGGACCAGTGACCATGTCGTGGATCAGGGAAGGAGAACTTACACTCTTAGAGCGGTTCTGTGCCAACATCATTAAGGTAAAAAAAAGAGTTTAGGCCACGTGCCCTTTCTAGCTTAGATAGGATAGTATGTAGAGAATGGATTCTTAACCAGAATGTATTCTCCCCAGCTGCAACAGGGGATATAACTCATTTTTACAGACATTTATTTTAATTAAAGTTTTTCAGTTAACAGTTACTTTCTATCTTTCCTCCAATATGCCTTCCCCATTAAGAAAGAAAAAAGAAAAACAAGATTCTTGTAAGAAATATGCATAGTCAGACAAAAACAAATTCCCCTTTGGCTGTGTCTTTTTCTGCATCTTGAGTCTTCTCTGTCAGAAGGTGGGCAGTGTGCTTCAGTGTTGGTTCCCAGGATTGTGGCAAATCATTTCATTGATCAGAGTTCTGAAGTCTTTCAGACTTGTTCATTTTTACAGTATTGTCATTATTGTATATATTGTTCTCCTGATTCTTTTCACTTTACACAAGTCTTCCCAAGGTTTCTCTGAAACTATCCCTTCCTTTCTTAAAGCATAATTCTTGTGACATCTTGTCAGACGTGCTTGCTACAGATGAGACACTGCCCTCAGCATTGGGGATATAATGATGCAAAGCAAACACACCTGGTCTGGGAACCTCCCTTCTGTCAGAGGTCAGGAGAGGTAGACGTACATAGTAATTTGAGGAGGGAGAAAGCATGAACAACTGGAGGTATCAGGAAAGCCTAGAAATGATCACCGATGTAAGCTAAGGTTCTTCTAAGAGCTCGAGGGGAGAAAGGAGTGTGGGCTAGCTTCTTGTATTCTGTGTCCTAGCTGAAGGCTAGTCCCTCATCTCAGCCTTCTGTTTCACTAGGGGGGATGTGTGGTGAAGGATGGCACAACGGGAGTTTATCATACTACAAGGGGAGAAAACATCAGACTTAAAATCCTCTAGCAGCGTCATCCTCCTATATAATTTTTTTTTTTTTTTGGCCTGGACTGGGGTTTTATTTGTGTAGGAGACTCGCTGCAGATGGACAATTATATTGCAATTTATACTCTGAGGACGTCTGCTGAGCCCAGCTTGGGTCAGAGGTAGGGCTTGAACTCAGGTCCTTTTGACTGGGAAGCTACATTTTTATCTATGTGTCTGTTTACAAAGTGTACCTTAGATACCTCTCATTGGGAAAATCTTTGAAAGAAGCAAAAAATTAAGTTAAAAAGGTGCGGGTAGGGTAGTAGAAGCAAGTTGTTCCATTGTTTCAGTCGTGTCTAACTCTCCGTGATCCCTGGAGTGGTTTGCCATTTCCTTCTCCAGTTCATTTTCCAGATGAAGAAACTGAGGCAGACAGGATAAAGTGACTTGCCCAGGATCCCACAGCTTAGTAAGTGTCTGAGGCCAGATCTGAACTCAGGAAAATGAGTCTATAACATGAGGAGAATTGGACAGTGTCGATGATTAGGTGGCTTCTCCCTCTTAGTCCTATGAATCTGTAGGTTACTCATCCAGGCATGAGTAGAACCAGGATTAGAAGCCCAGGGTCCCAGTTCTCAGGTCAACACTTTTCCCATTGTATCCTAGCTACTCTTGGTTCCTAGAGGCAATCTCAAGAAATAAGGCAAGTTAGTTTCTTCCCATTTCACAGCTTGAAGGATTAAATATCTGTTAATGAATAAGTTATTTTGGAATGTTAAAGAATTTAATTGATGTTGATTGTTCTTTCACATCTTAGTTAGATCTTCATGAATTTCTGTGGTAAAGCTTTTATCACCTGCTACTGTGTCTCTTGTCTACTTAACCAGGATGGTATTCAGAGGACAGACACATACTGCGTCCTCATGCCGGTACTTGAAGCTCTTCCAGCTTGGTGTTAGGGCCTGCTAGACCTCAGGGCCACTGGCACAGACCTTAAGAGGGTTACAGGAGTAGGGCTTGATTGAAGGATAAGTTAGTTAAGTATTTATTGTGTACTTAGTGCTAAGTACTAGTTATACCTTATCCTGCTCCTTGAGGATAGGTTTGCTTTTTAAATTCTAATGTGCAGATTAAATAAGGAAGGGGCAGCTAGGTGGCGCAGTGGATCGAGCACTGGCCCTGGATTCAGGAGGACCTGAGTTCAAATCCGGCCTCAGACACAACACTTACTAGCTGTGTGACCCTGGGCAAGTCACTTAACCCCGTTGCCTACCTACAGGAGAGAAAGATATGGCATACAAGTAAAACACCTCTAACATGACATGCTTAAACAAGCCATTAATGATGAAAATGGGAAAAGGTTGAAGGGATGGATATTGACACATTATGAAACATGTTTGCTGTAAGACTAACAGGATTTCAGATGTGTGGGCTGGGGGAAGGATGGTAGAAAAAGGGCTTCTCCAAGCCTTGGTTGTTCTCTATGTAAACTGACAATAATGATACCTGAACAGCCCACCTTACATGGTATGTTAGTTTTTGTTCCTCCAGTAAGGGTCTTCTGTGACCTATCGCAGCTATGCCAGTATGCAAGCTTTGCCCAGGTTTTGCCAAGCAAGAAAGGCTGCTGAAGGACCAGCCTAGCAAAGTTCAGAGAAGCTCCTTATAGCTTGATCATAAAGGATTTCTAGCCACAGCAGCTCATTCAACAGCCTTCTAAAGCCCTAGAGAGATAGCCATTTTTGTTGGCGAAGCCACCATGCCAGTGAATTTATTAACCCTTAAAGTATCTATCATTAATGAGGAAAATAATATATAATTCATTTTTATTATTGTTGTTATTAGCAAGATCTACCCCAAGGGTATAACATTCTCCAACCAGCTGATAGATAGATCTTTAAGCCAGTTGCTGTTTTCATTCCAATCTCCATAAGGTTTGGGTTATCATGTTGGGAGAACAGCATGGCACAGTGGAAAGAATGCTGGAGGAGTCAGATAATTGGGGTACTAAACCTTGTTCTGCCACTTAACTATCTGTGTGACTTTGGGCAAGGTAACTATAATTTGTATGGATCTCAGTTTCCTTATTTATAAAATGAGGGGGTTGAACTTAAAGGTTCCTTCAAGCTCTACACCTGTGACCAATGCTGTTCATAAACTTCACTGTTACCACTCTTTCTTTTTCCCTTTCCTTCCCTACTGCTCCTGTCCTCCCAGTAGTTATCTTAAGGCTTTGGCGCTTGAGGAAATAGAAAAAAAAACAGCTTTTTGCAAAAAGTTTGGGGACCTCTGTAATAATGTCAGTGACAGCAAACAGATTGGTTTGGCTGGAGAGGCAACACTGAGAAATAATGAGAGGCTGGACTTGAGATAACCTGGGAAGAGCAGCTGGAGGACCCACCAATTGGTAAAAGAGAGAAGTCAAGGTTACAATCCAAGCGTCATTTATTAAACATCTCTGATGTATGTGTACTATGCTAGTGACTTCACATGTATCACCAGTGTCAAATTGCTTGCCTTCTTAGTGGGTGGGGGAGGGGCTGGAGGGAGGGAGAGAGAGAATTTGGAACTCAAAGTGTGAAAAAAGAAAAAAAAGGATTAAAATAAATAAGGTGGGGGTGAGAGGAACAAGACTGCATGCTAGGCAGTTAGGATACAAAAACAAAATGGAAAACAGTTCCTTCAAGAGCTTCGATTCTACTGAATTGGTCTTAGTGGGCACTATGGAGCCGCTCCCTCTAGAAGCTGAGTGGGGGTGGGGTGAGGGAGCTGCCTGGATTCTTAGGCTAAAGAGAACTGCCTTCCTTTCGTGCAGGCCAGTCCCTGGCTCCCAGCTTCTCTCCTGTCACAGGCCTGGACATGATTTCTCTCTTGCCCCCATAGGCAGGCCCGATGCCCAAGCACATTGCATTCATCATGGACGGGAACCGCCGCTACGCCCAGAAGTGCCAGGTGGAACGACAGGAGGGCCATGCGCAGGGCTTCAATAAATTGGCTGAGGTGGGAGGCAGCGCCCTGGGCAATGCTTGTGTATGCTGGGGTTCACGTCAGAATGTTTGGCCTTAGTCTTTGGGGTTACTTGGTCTTTGCTTTGCTGCAGAGGCTTCTCTGCCCGGGGATAGGTGGGAGGGGAAGAGGAACAAGCACTTATTACAGCACCTACTGTGTGCCAGGTGCCAGACCTTGTGCTAAGTACTTTACAGAGATGATCTCATCAGATCCTCACAACACCCTTGTGAGGTGGTTTCTGTTAGGATTCCCTTCCCCCATTTTACAGATAAAGAGACTGAGGTAGGCACAGGTTAGACCAGAATCCCATAGCTAAAAAGTGCATGAGGCTGGATTTGAACTCAGATCCTCCTGACTCCAGGTCTAGCGATTTATCCACTGTGCCACCAGCAGCCTCTAGCTGTTGAATGAATGGTTCTTGCTTATGATTGTGTAAAGAGCTATTGTTATGTGAGCCAGCATGCCAGGCAGCCAGCCTGCCTCTCTCCCTCAGTGAAGGCCATCATAGTAATAACCTGAATAGTCTTGATTTATTCTTGGATAGGAAGCAGAGAGCTTATTTCTAAAACTGCCCATTGGCCACCTAGAGTTTTGATTGATTTCAACTTCTGCCTAACTGTTGTAAGAGGCTCAGTTTTGTCCTTTATTCCAAACCACTTGTGGAGTGCTGCCCAGAGTGACTGCCATGGAGGTAAATTCTTTTGGATCTGAACAAAGGATGTGTCCAGTTTTCATTGGGGTGTTAAAAGTTTGGGCATAGTTTGAAGTGCTTTGGCTTAGGGGAAGCTTTGTCCCCTCGTCTGTTTGACTTGATTGACTCATACTTCCCTTTAGCCTCCAAGCATCGTCAGCCTTTTGTCTTCTGACACCAGCTTTGTTCTCAGATATAGAAGAGAAAGTAATTGAGAGCAGTTCTTAACTGGGTGATCCTTCCCTGTCCACGGGGATCGTAATAGTTAATGATGCTGTAGATCATTATTTCTTGTATTTTATTATCATTCCTCAGTAATATTGTGAGGCTGAAATGACATCCTTGGTTCTACAGAGAAAAAGAAATTTCGTTGTAGAGAGGTTAAATAATTTACTTACAGTTACATAGCTAGTTAATGAGGGGTCCATGGACCAGAATCCAGCAGAATCCTGTTGTTTAGGTGATTTTTTTTTCTGTCTTCATCTCTGTCATCTTCACAGGTTCTGTCTGCCCCCCTTAACTATGAGGTGGGACATGAAGTGTCTCTTTTCTACCCTCTCATCCCAGGGACCCTAGCACTTTCCCTTTCTCCCTTCTTAGACCCTGCGTTGGTGTTTGAACCTGGGCATCCGAGAGGTGACTGTCTATGCCTTCAGCATTGAGAACTTCAAACGCTCAAAGAATGAGGTGGATGGGCTAATGGAGCTGGCCAGGCAGAAATTTAGTCGACTGATGGAAGAACAGTAAGATGCCATGCAGGGGAAGGAGGGAGGATATTCTATGTGTGCATACGCTCTTGTGCACCCATTCTGAGTTCTCCTGGGATGAACATAAGACCCTAAGGCTCCATTCATGGGGAGATTGGTGCCAACAGCAAACTTGGTAATGGTGATTCTTCCTTACAGCTTTATGCAAAGGCTTGGTCCAGGGAGAGAATATGGGAGAAGCCTTGAGGGACACCTTTCTCTTTCACTGTTGAGGAAAGAAACTCAGGGATGAATGATGAATTCCAAGGCTTGGAACTTCAGCTGGCCAGTAGGATCCAGGCTTCTGCATTCCCAGGCAGGAAGAGTGAGTGAGTGCCCAGAAAGTCTGCAGCCTGTGCCTGAGGCAGATCAAAGAAGGAAGCTCCTTAAAACAAGCTTTCAAGGAAACTAGCTCTGCCATCTCTGCGTCTCGTGGCTCACCCAGTGGTCCAGTGACCTCGTGACGCTGGAATAAACATGTAAACAAATAAACGAAAGCTGGTTCAGGGATAGCCAACTTGGAGCTCTTCAGAGTATTATGTCTGGCCCTTGAAAACAAGGAAAAAAAGTTAGTTACAAATTATGTTGATGTTGATTGAAAGTAATATTATATCCTTTGAACAATCTAAAATGTTAAAATGTAGATACAATATAAAGGTCCTTCACCCACGTAGAGAGGTGGAAAAGCATTTTCATAACAGTGACTATTTTAGAGAAGGATTCCCCCCACCCCCCACCAAAAAAAAACCAAAAAACATTTATTTGACTTTTTATACATGATGCCTCAGTCCTGATCCTTGACCTTGCTGTAATTAGCCACCCTTAACAGAGTGATGTTAGTAAATCATTTTATAAAAGGTGCCAAAGTCTCTTCATTTGAAGATGAATACTTCCCAATACTCAGGCAAGAAAGATTGTCTGGTGTCTGTGCTTGTATTTTACATTCCTATAGTGCTTATGGTGAGGGAAATATACACTATTTAGATTACAATAAAAGTACTTGACATAAAGCACTTTATGGTTTGCAAAGTGCTCTGTTTTTTTGGGTTTTTGTTTTTTTTTTGGTTAGGCAATGGGGTTAAGTGACTTGCCCAGGGTCACATGGCTAGTAAGTGTTATGTGTCTGAGGCTAAATTTGAACTCAGGTCCTCCTGACTCCAGGACTGGTGCTCGATCCACTGCGCCACCTAGCTGCCCCCAAAGTGCTCTGTTTTAGTACTTTCATTTGATCCTGTTTTTATTCTAATTGATCCTGTTTTATAAATATCCTGCCCATTTTACAGATAAGGAAACCAAGGCTTAGTTTAATGACTTGCCAAAAGTCACACAACTACTTAGTGGCAGGGATGGATCTCACAGCCCAGTTTTTCATTTATTCCACTACAGTTTGGGAATATATAGATCCTGGTTCCCAGTGAGAAGAAGCACCCCTGACCTTCTGACCCCACTCACTCTCTGTATCCTGTTCAGTTCATACCATTCCTTCCCACTGTGTGCAGGAGCCCTAGGCCCAGGTCCAGGGGAAGGTTTGATAGCGCAGTGTGGTCTCCACTCTGGAGAAGCTTGCAGTCTCAATCTTACAGGCATCTATTAAGCTTCTGCTGTGTGCAGAGGCACTGCAATGTCCCCTGGGAATACAAAGGTGAGATGGAAACGAGGTTTTGCTGCCTAGGAGTAGACATTCTCCTGGGGACTGTAGAGCTTACAGCGAGGACACTGAGGGAAGCCCAAAGAAGGAAAAAGATCATTAAACAGCAGGGGATTGTCTGAGAACAAGAGGAGGAATGTTCAGTCAGAGAATTGGGAGATGAGGTTGAGTGCCTACTGTATGCAAAGCACTGCTGGGGAAGAGGCGTTGTGTGTGCAGTACCAGCATGTATGAATACACAATACTCTAGTAATTATAATTCAAAATATGAAAAGTATCACCTCCACACATAGGCAACTGTGACTTAGTAACAGACTGCGGATTTTTCACTAAGCACCGGGTACTTTTGCAAGGATTTCTGTCCCAAACCTCCGGAGCTTCCTTCAAGAGAGACCTCAAAAGCCACCTGCCAGGTTCCTTCTTCCCCCCACCCCCAGTGGCTGGTGCTTTCGCCTTTTAGGTGATGCTCTATCTACTCCATATGTATCTTGTATGGACTAATGTGTGTCCATGTGGTCTTCTGTATCAGAATGGGCGATCTTTGAGGGCAGGAGCTGTTTTTGCTTTTTCTTTGTGTTTCTAGTGCTTAGCTACCATAATGCTTATACCTATTAATTGTTTCATAAATTTTTGTGGCTTGATTCCTGCACAGGGAGAAGCTGGAGAAGCATGGGGTGTGTATCCGAGTCCTGGGTGATCTTCAGTTGTTGCCCCTCGACCTCCAGGAGCTGATTGCAAAAGCTGTTCAGGCCACCCGAAACTATAGCAAGTGAGGGGGACCAGCTCCCAGTCAGGCTCTCTCTGTCTCCTTCCTCCCCTGCTAGGCTAGCCCTGCTGGATCCCCTCTAAGGTTACTGGAAGACAGGCTTCTTAGAGTTTGGGATGTTCAGAGCTCCTCTCCTTTCTGTTCAGGGAGTGAGAAGAAGAGAGCTAGGGCCGCATTTTATAAATGTCCTGTTCCCGTTGTGAGAAAAGGAAGGAAAAAGGACAGTAGATTCTACTCCAAAGGCTGGTCCTGCTTGGGATTTGTTTTTCACCCTAGTCCTAATTTAAAGTAGAAAAGCTCTAAATAGCTCTGCAGATTTAGAAGGGAACAGTGTTTAGATAATCAAAAAATTATTTGTTTGGCTTTCTTTTGCATAAGATTTGCCTTCCCATTTCAGCTTTGTTTATGCTATAACAATTAAATTAGATTCCTGATTCCCAGAGAGCACACTGACCCAAAGTGAAAGAGAGTTGGTGACTAGGTGTGCTTTGGGGTGGGGGGGGGTGGCAATCTCAGGATTAAAAACTAGACAAGTTGAATGATTGGATGTTAGAAAGGGCCATTTAGAAATCTAGTCCCGCCCCCTCTGATTCCTCCGCATTTTATCGGTAAAGTAACAAAAAGCCTAGAGAAAGAAAGCAGTTTGTTGAAAGTCACATAGCTTAGGGTATGGTAGACTAAGGATTCGATCCAGCTTCTCTGGACTCCCAGTCTAATGGTCTACAGGCTAGAACAGGCTCTCTCTAGATAAAAATGTCTATGTTGGACAAATCCACTCTACCCAGGCATATTCCCCTGTCCCAATCTCATCGTATCCTGGCTCCTTCTGAGCCCTGACTCGTAGGGAGAATGATGACCATTGCAGAAGGCTTAGCAAAGACCCAGTTTGAGCCTCCAAAGAGCAAAGCCAAATAAACTAGAAGAGAAGAGGCTCAGATCATCTTAGGCTTCCTTTCTGGATATCCCTGTCTCTTTCCTCTGCCACTATGACTGGATCTCCTCTCAGATTAGCAGAAGACAAATGAAGTCTGGTTTGGAATTTTAAGACTTCCCTTTCTTTCTGTCTTGGGAGTGGACAAAGTTTAGTGACTGATAGGTGAATATTTTTCATAGCTGACTTAAGTGACCCTTACAGATTAGGGCTGCTATGAGTTAGGCTCTACCCTACCCCTATTTCCCACCTCCCTGACTCCTTAGTGATGTAGTTTTGTTCTTCTTCTTTACAGGTGTTTCCTGAATGTCTGCTTTGCCTACACATCCCGACATGAAATCAGCAATGCTGTGAAAGAAATGGCATGGGGAGTAGAACAAGGTTTACTGGATCCCAGGTAGCCCTCATTACCTAACATGCTGAGTGACTTGACTACTCACACGGGTGATTTGGGGTTGGGAATAAGCCCACGCTTGAAACGTTCCAGTCTTCAGCCCATTCTCCCTGTCACAGTGGCAGGAACAGGGACTACCAGGCCAGCCTCTGAGTTCAAGGCTTGGCAACCAATAGTTTGCAAATAAGGTGGTGCAAGAGAAGGTTTGGGGTGATCTCCAACTTGCTTCCAACTCTGAAGTCACAGGCCCAGCTTCTGGTTTGAGGTTTCTGTACTCACTACCAAGCCAGACTACAAGAAAGTGAAGACACTTTAAAGCCAGCGATGATGCAATGTCATCCTCCGACAATAGGTCAACAGGTGTCCTCTGAACAGGTTTCTCAGTTGCTTGTGTCAGAGGCAAGGTTTGGTGGAGAGGCTGTCTCCTCATGCTTTCTGGTGTACACTTCACAGTCAGTGTTCCTCCTGGAGGGAGGTTTCTGGAAGTAGGAGTGAGGTAAATGCCATTTAGATTGAAAAACATTGCCTACTTCTGTCATCCCTGATTGTCCATCCCTTTCATGTACGTACACAGGAATATAGTATGCAGAGGGAATGGGCTGCTTTTATTTTTTTGTTGCTAGCAGATCTCAAGCAGGATTCAGGTATCTGACTGCAAACAAAACAAACATTATTATATTTCTTATTGGGCTGCCTGCTGTATGGGCCAGAACTTTTTTCTGACTGAAAGGATCTTGATCAGTTGGCGAGATTACTAATTTAAGTCATTAATATTACAATGAATAACTAATACTTTTACTTGCTCTCCACTAAAGCCCTATGCCAATGCTGTGGGCAAAGATGATATTGGAGAAATGGAAACTAGAGCTTCCTTCCACTAAAAGCCTCTTCCAGGGCTACCTGTGGAATGGAGGCGATTTGGGCCTCTCGGGGCTCTGCCGAGCTGGGGGAACTGGCAAATGCTATCGACCTGGACAGCCAAGGGTGAACAGGATCCAGAAGCCAACCTCATTTCTCACAGCAAGAACCTGGCCAACCACCAGCTTCCCAACCAGGATTTTTTAACTGATAAAACCTCTTTTAAACCAATTTCTACAAGAGGAGTTTCCGTTTGTGTATGGAGAAAGTATCCATTCTGATACCAGAGACCCTGGAAGTGCAGTATTTTGTAGGGTACTCTTCCCTGTCCAAAGAGCTCATCCTTATTTAAGATGTTAGAGCTTACAAAGTTGTAAATTAATAATGATAGTAACCCCTATGTGTATGGTGCTTTCATGATCATAAAGTACTTTTCTCAGAACAAAGTTTTGAAGCAGGTATCTTGAGTATGAATCTTTCCATTTTGTAAGTAAGAAAACTGATTTAGCAGGGTCACCCAACCTGAGTGTCAGAGCTTGGGGCCTGCTGGAGTGGTACGTGCCTGTGATCTCTGCTGCTAGGGGAGGCTGAGGCTGAGGGATACCGTGAGCTGGGTGTTGTGAGTGACAGTCAGCCTAAACCTTAACGTGGGTGTCTACGCCAAGTCCTGTACCAAGTGTCACGCTGGGACAGTGAGCCCCAGGAGCAATTGGCCTCCAGGCTGTTTGTGGAGGAGCACACTGATCCAGATCTGAAACAGAAGGTCAGAGCTTCTGGGAGAATGGGGTGAGGCCAGAGTGGCTGCTGGGCTTCCTGCCTGCTTGAGATTAGGGAATCCCATTCTCCAAAAAAACAAAACAGTGCTCTGATTCAGACCCAGGCCTCTCCCAAGCCCAGCAAGCTTTTGCCAGACCATGCTTCCTCCCTGATGTTACAGGTGAAGAAACAACACGTGGGGGAGTAAGTGCCCAAGTCCACTGGCTCTTGGGCCACTGCTCTTCCCACCTAATTCAGAATGTCTGCCCCAAACACTTTCATGTCGTATTTGCTTAACAGTTCTCAGAGATGGGTCTAGTGATTTAGATAAAGAGAGTGACATATTGGAGCCAGGACTTGTCAGTGTCCGGACGTTTCAGTCCTGAACTCAGATGTTCAAGTTAATCTCCAGATGATTAAGTTCTAAGGTAATACAGAGTACACAAGGCTAAATTTGTACTAAGAGACCAATTTATTAATATTCAAGGCCCAAAGAGAATGAAACATTCTCAAATTCTAGAATTTTCATTGCACCCCTTCCAGGATTTCCCCTCTCCAGCATCAAGGTTCCTGGCAAACAGTGTAGTAGTTTAATGATCACTCTGTTCCTGTCTTTTAGATTGTGTCTTTTTCCTCTGGACTGTGCTAGAAAAACAGTGACAGAGTTTAGCTGTCTCCCTCCTTTTCTTGTATTCCACCTTGACTCTCCTTTTTCTTTTTTCTTCCACTAGCAATGCATCAGTGTCCCAACTTTCCCACATTCCAAATCACATTATAGGTATAGGCTGCTACTGGGAACAGTTCCTGTGGAGCATTTCCCTGCTTATGTTTTTCCTTTTCCCTTTTGTAACATTCATCCTAGAACTGCTTTGTTGTTTTTTAAAAATGTAATATTTTATTTTGTTTCCCAATTACGTGTAAAAACAACTTTTAACATTTGTTTTCTAAAATTTTGAGTTCCAAATTCTCTCCGTTCCTCCCTCTCTCCCTCCCTCCCTTCCCTTCTCACTCCTTGAGCAGGCAAGCAATTTGATATAGGCTATACCCGCACGGTCATGCAAAACATATTTCCATATAAGTCATATTATAAAAGAAAACATAAACCAAAAAAAAAAGTTTAAAAAACATGCTTCTATCTGCGTTCAGACTCCATCAATTCTTTCTCTAGAGGTGGATAGCATTTTTCATAAGTCCTTTGGAATTGTCTTGGATCATTGCATTATTGAGAACAACTAAATTATTCACAGTTGATCATTGTACAATGTTGCTGTTACTGTGAAAAATGTCCTCCTGGTTCTGCTCGTTTCACCACTTTGCTTCACTTCATGTAAGTCTTTCCGGGTTTTTCTGAGAGCATCCTGCTCATCATTTTTTATAGCACAATAGTATTCCATCACAATCATATACCACAATTTATTCAGCCATTCTCTAGTTGATGGACATCCCCTCAATTTTCAGTTCTTTGCCACACAAATAGAGCTGTTATAAATATTTCTGCATGTATAGGTCCTTTTCCTTTAAAAAAAAAATCTCTTAGTGGTATAGACCTAGAAGTGGTATTGCTTGGTCAAAGGGGAAATACAGTTTTATAGTCCTTTGCTCCAGAATTGTCTCAAATTGCTCTCCAGAATGGTTGGATCAGTTCTCAATTCCACCAGCGTTGCATCAGTGTCCCAGTTTTCCAACATTCCCTCCAACATTTGTCATTTTTCTTTTCTGTCATATTAACCAATCTGATAGGTGTGGGGTGGTAGCTCAGAGTCGTTTTAATTTGTATTTCTCTAATAGAGCATTTTTTCATATGACTATAAATAGCTTTGATTACTTCATCTGAAAACTGTTGACCATTTTTATCAATTGGGGAATGACTTGTATTCTTAATTTGACTTAACTCTCTGTGTATTTGAGAAATGAGGCCTTTATCAGAGAAACTTTCCCTCTATCATTTCTATTCTCTCTCTCCTTTCACCCTATCCATCCTCAAGAGTGTTTTGTTTCTTCTGACTCTTGCCTCCCCCAATCTACTCTCTCTTCCAACAGTCGCCTCTTCTTCTTCCCTCCTACTTTCCTATAGGGTAAGATAGATTTCTGTACTCAACTGAGTGTGTACATTATTCCCTCTTTGAGCCAATTCCAATGAGAGGAAGGTTCAGGTGCTTCTCCCTTACCTCCCCCATCTTCTCCTCCACTATAAAAGCTCTTTGATGCCTTCTTTACCTGAGATAATTTATACTACTTTACCTCTCCCTTCCTCCTTCTCCCTGTGCATTCCTCTTTCTCCCTTAATTTATTTTTTAGAAATATCCCATCATATTCAACTTACAATTGTGCTTTCTGTCTGTGTATACTCCTCCTAACTGCCCTAATAATGAGAAAGTTTTTAGGAGTTACAGGTATCGTTCTCCCATGTAAGAATGTAAACAGTTTAACCTTATTGAATCCCTTATGATTTCTCTTTCCTGTTTACCTTTTTATGCTTCTCCAGTCTTGTATGTGAAAGTTAGATTTTCTATTCATCTCTGGTCTTTTCATCAGGAATGCTTAAGAGTCTTCTGTTTCATTGAACATCCATTATTTCCCCTAAAGAACTGTACTCAGCTTTGCTGGGTAGATGATTCTGGGTTGTAATCTCCTAACTCCTTTACCCTCCAGAATATCGTATTCCAAGCCCTCCGATCCTTTAATGTAGAAGCTACTAAATCTTGTGTTGTCCTAACCATGGCTCCACAACATTTGAATTGTTTCTTTCTGGCTGCTTGCAGTATTTTCTCCTTGACCAAGGAGCTCAGGAATTTAGCTTTTGTATTCTTGGGAGTTTTCATCTTGGGATCTCTTCAAGAGGTGATCGGTGAGTTCTTTCCATTTCTGTTTTACCCTCTGGTTCTAGCATAACAGGGCAGTTTTCCTTGATAATTTCTTGAAAAATGATGTCTAGATTCTTTTTTAGAAATCATGGCTTTCAGGTAGTCCAAAAATTCTTGTATTATCTCTCCTTGATTTATTTTCTAGTTCACTTGTTTTTCCAACAAGATATTTCATATTTATTCTATTTTTTATTTTGTTTCATTGTTTCTTGTTGTCTCATGGAGTTATTAGCTTCCACTTGCCCAATTCTAATTTTTAAGGAATTATTTTTCAGTGAACTCTTGTACCTCCTTTTCCATTTGCCCAGTTCTCCTTTATAAGTTCTTTTCTTCGGTGAATTTTTATACATGTAACCAATTCTGCTTTTTAAGGAGTTCTTCTCTTCAGTGGATTTTTGTACCTCTTTTGCCATTTGGCCTATTGTGTTTTTTAAGGTGTTAGTTTCTTCAGTATTTTTTCTGTGCCTCCTTTACCAAATTCTTTTCCCAGTTTTTCTTCTACCTCTCTTATTTGATCTTTAAAATCCTTTTTGACCTCTTCTAGGAATTCTTTTTGACCCTCAGACCAATTCACATTTTTTTCTTTGAGGCTTTGGATGTAACCATTTTGATGTTGTCTTCTTCTGAGTTTGTGTTTTGATCTTCCCTTTTACTATAGCAACTTTCTATGGTCAGGTTCTTTTTTTGTTTGCTCATTTTTTTCAGCCTATTTCTTGACTTGTAACTTTATTTTAAAGTTGGGCTCTGCCACTGCGGTTGAGGGGACACTGTTCCAAGCTTTAGATTTTTTGTGCAGCTGTTTCCAGAGCTAGTTCTGGAGGTATGTCTAAGTTTTCAGTTCTTTCGAGGTGGTATGATCTGCAGAGAGGTGTGTTTGCTACTCTTCTTGCTTGTGCTCTGGTCTGTGAGTGACCCACTCCTTTCCACCTGGAATTGTGAACAGGGTCCCTGCTTCCCTACAGTCACAAACTTTGGTGTGCTAGTGCTCCTCCTTACCCTGGCACTAGGAACCAATACTGGGACCTGGATCCACATATGGGCAATGCCAATGCCAGTAAAGGGTCCTCTGTAATCTCCCTCTTACCATCTGTGGGCTGAGAGCTCCCAGAGCCATTACTGCTGATTTAGTTGCCCCCAAGGCCTGCTGCTGGCTTGCTAGGGTGTTGCTTGCACTGGACTACACTCCATTCTCACCCCAGGGGAACAGACCTTTCCTGCTGACCTTCTAAGTTGTCTTGGGCTGGAAAATTGTTTCATCCTGTCCTTTTGTGGATTCTGCCACTTCAGAATTTGTTTTGAGACGTTATTTAAAGTTGTTTGGACGGGAATTTGGGAGCATCCAGATGAGTCCCTGCCTGTTGTCCACTATCTTGGCTCCACTAAAACTACTTTGACCTTGGGTTTTAACTGCCTATTATCTGCAATCAGCAAGTCTTCCCATTTGCCGATGAAACCTAGCCAGGGAAGTGCCGTACCTGAGGTCACCCATCACAGTAATGACCGTGACTAGAGCCTCGGTCTCCTGACTCCCGGCCCACATCTCTTTGTACCAGATCATGTTGCCAGGACAGATTGAATAGTAGATAAAGGGAATCCCAGCTGGAGCCCCACTGCAGTGAAATTCTTAAGTTGCAGCCTTCATCTTTTTTATGTTTTAGGTGCTAATAATGCTAGCTCTTTTTATAGAGTAATTTACAGCATACAAAGCACTTCCACCCCCAGTGCTGTGAGGTATATTGTATGTGAACGATTAACCCCATCTGACAAATGAAGAATCAGAAAGAGATGGGGAAACCCACAGCATCTAAGTAGTAAATGTCGGAGTAAGGACCCACCTCTGAGTCTTCTGACTCCTGGGCGGCTCTACCTCGAAGATCCACCCCAAGAACTATTGACTGGGAACCAAAGCTCTACAGAGAGTAGCTGGTAGCACAGTGAGAGAGCACCGGGTTTGGAGACCTGAGTTCAAATCCAGCCTCAGACACTTACTAGCTATGTGACGCTGGGCAAGCCACTTAACCTCTGTTTGCCTGAGTTTCCTCAGCTGTCAAATGGGGATAATAATAGCACCTACCTCCTAGGCTATTGTGAGGAACAAATGAGATCATAATTATAAAGTGCTTGGCACAGTGCCTGGCTCATAGTGAGGTTTTTTTTGGTTGTTTTTTTTTGTTTGTTTGTTTTTGGTGAGGCAGTTGGGGTTAAGTGCCCAGAGTCACACAGCTCGTGAGTGTTACATGTCTGAGGCTGGATTTGAATTGGGTCCTCCAGACTCCAGGGCCAGTGCTCTATCTACTGTGCCACCTAGCTGCCCCCTCATAATGAGTTTTTAAGTAATGCATGTTCTCTTCCCTCAAAATGGTGACGTTGATTTCCCCATTCTACAGGTGAGGGAGATTGAGACAGTTTACTCTTCAGATAGTCACCATCAACCCAGACAAAATTCTTTGACTTTTGTCTCTCAATCTTCTAAGTTATAACAGCACCAGCAGTGCTGTTATACTTCTGTTTTATTTCTAGAGATAGAGAAGCCAAAATAATTCTGGGAACTAGAGTGGCTAAGTGTTGAAACTTAATTGAAGCCTTTCAGATAACTGCTGTCCTTGGTTGAGGAAAGTTTCTTGCCAGAGAGGCAGTAAAGATGCAGATTTCTTTCTTCCTGGGTGCCTACTAGGATGAGTGGCAGGGGGGAGGAGTCTGGGAGACTGCTTATTTCACCACTGAATGTGCATCTGTCTGTTTTCCTTCACTTAGTGACGTGTCAGAGTCTCTCCTCGATAAATGTCTCTACACCAACAACTCCCCCAATCCAGACATCCTGATACGGACTTCAGGGGAAGTGAGGCTGAGTGACTTCTTGCTCTGGCAGGTAGGTCTCCTTCATTGGGGAAGGTCCCGGTATCAAGGATTAGATGAGTCAGTCATTTCAAGGGTCCTGGGCCACTGGGACCTGAGAGGACAAGGAGGAAACTAATGGGTCCAGAAAATGTTGTTCCTCTCTGGACCTCATCTGCTCCCTCTACCTCCCTGGGGGAACCATCGAGAGAACTGGGATGGTTACAGAATTGGAGCTAGAAGAGCCTTCCAAGATGACCCAGATCCAGTCCAGACCCAAAGCATGAACCTTCCCCTGCAGCATACCCAACAGCAGGCCACACAAGCCCTGCTTGGAGACCTCCAACGAGGGGCGACTTACAGCCTCTTGAAGCCACTCATTGTACTTTGGAATAACTTTAATCATCGTAAGTTTTTCCTTAAAGTCATCCTCCATCTGCTTCTTCCCATTATTACTAGTCCTGCCCATGGAGGGCCAGGAAGAACAAATCGAAACCCTTGTCCACAGTACAGGCCTTTGTACACTTACAGAGAGTACAGTACAAAGGCCTGCACGCAGTAGGCGCTTAATATGCAGTGATTGGCAACAAGTGTGTGTGTGTGTGTGTGTGTGTGTGTGTGTGTGTGCATGAGAGAGACAGAGAAAGGTCCATTCCCGAGCCTCATCTTCTCTAGGCTAGACATCTTCCGTTCACTAGCTGGCATACTTTTGAATTCCCTCATCCTGGTTCCCTTTCTCTGACTAGACTTCAACTTGTTATTGACCTTCTAAAAATAAGTGCTGTTTATTGCTTTTTGGAATACTTTTTTAAAAAGATCTAGTCCTTAAATACCAAGGAAAAAGTGTGTGCTAAATTTTATGAATAAGGGGTTAAATGCCAAGGTTAGGTAGGAACAATTTCAGGAATATCTGTACCTCGTCCTGTAAAACCTAATCACTGGATCAAAGTCTGAAAGTCTTTCTAGAGTCAGACATTTTTCTGTGTCCTCCGATACTTGTTTCTTGCAAATATTGAGCCAGACATCTCCTTTTACAGTTGGGGGAATTGACTCAAACAATTTATTAAGCTTGTGAGTAATGTCCCTTAAGACTGGAAAGATAAGTTGAGGTCAGATTGTGTCAGGATTTTAAAAGCTATGTAGAGGAGTTTATATTTTATCCTAGAAGCTATAGGAAGCTGCTGAAGTTGGTTGAGTATGAGAGTCACATAGTCAAATCTCTGCTTAAGGAAAACCACTTTGGCATCAGTGTGTAAAATGGACAGGAAATGAGGAGAAGCTTCAGGCAGGGAGACCTCCTAATTAGGAGACTGTTGCAGTAATCTAGTTGAGGTGATGAGGATCTCTAAAGTCAGGTGGTAGCTATGAATGGAGAGAAGGGGTTGGATCCAAGGGATGTTGTGAAAGTACAAATAGCAAGATTTGGCAAATGATTGGATTTGTGGGGTAAAGAAAGAGTCCCGGGATAATGCTAAGATTATAAACCTGGGATACTGAAAGGATGGTGATGCCTTGGACAGAAATGGGGAGTTAGGAAGAAGGGAGGGTTTGGGGGAAAGAGAATGAGTTTTATTTCACCTCTGTTGCATCTAAAGCATATCTGGGGCATCCCATTTGAAATGCCCACTAGGGAATTCATTATGGTAGGACAGGCCTGCACAACATGCGGCCTGCTAAAGTGGCCCACAGGCAGTATGTTGTGCAGGGCTGTTTTACATCCTCTACATTTTTCACAGGCCACCCGAAATCTGCCTGCGGGCCTGATGTAGGACAGGACATAGGTGATAAAGATTAGGAGAGAGATTGGAGCTGGAGATAGAGATCTGGAAATCATTTACATAGAGTTGGTAGTTAGATCAATGGAAGCTGATGAGTAGAGGGAAAAGAAAAAGCCTCAGACAGAATCTTGTGAAGTCCCCACGGTTAGAGAACATTATGTGGGAGCATTGTAAGCTAGCAAAGGAGGATGAGAAGGCACAGTCAGACAAGTAGGAGGAGAAGCAGGAGAGACTAACATCATAAAATTCCAGAGAAGGCAGAGTCTCCAGGAGGAGAAAGCATAGTCAGTGATGGCAAATGCAACAGGACAAAGCCTGGAAAAAGACCTTCAGATTTGGTCATTATAGGAAGTTAATGGCAACTGATTTGTTTTGAGAGAGTCGTTTCAGTTGAGAGATGAGTTTGGAAGCCATATTGCAAAGGCCTGGAAAGTAAGTCAGGAGACGAGTAGAGGCAGTGAGGAGTTTGCTTGAGAAGGGGAGACTTGAGGGCAGCTAGGTGGCACAGTGAATAGAGCTCCAGCATTGGAGTCAGGAGGATCTGAGTTCAGATCTGGCCTCAGACACATGATACTCACTAGCTGTGTGACCCTGGGCAAGTCACTTAATCCTGATTGCCTCAAAAAAAAAGAGAGAGAGAGAAGGGGAGACTTGGGCATATTTGAGGGCAGTAGAAAGGAACCAGTGGACAGGGATAGGTTGAACATTTGAGGGGGCCACGATTGAGGATGCAGTCTGCTGGAGAAAATGGGAGTACATGGGATCAAGTGCCCACATTAGAGGGAGGGGTTGAGCGTGGCAAGGAGAAATAACCTAGTTAAGGTGTTTTATGCCCATTTGCTTGTTCTTATCCTAGGTGTCTCTTTAGTCTGTAAACTTCCTGGAGGCAGATCTCTGTGTACAATGATTGAGCCTTGATGCAGTGAGATAGAGAAGATAGTCCTCAAATACCGGACAGACTTCATCTCATTCCCCTCTCTTTGTTAGTACTCCTAATCTGGAGAGTGTTTATAAGAGCCAGATGTGTACAGATGTGTCCATGGGTTGCAGAAATATAAATTGGATTGTCTTTTTTTTTTTCCAGCCTAGATTTCCTTTTGAGGAAATTCCCGTTACCAGTGCAGCCTGGCAGCTGATCTGCAATTTGTAGTCTCAGTTGCCCAGGACACCAGGAGATTAAGTGACATGCTTCTGTCAGTATGTCAGAGGTGGGACCCACTTCTTCCTAACCCCAGACTGACTCTCCACTGTGCCTCAGAGCGTGTGACATTAGGAACCAGATTGATGTTAAGTTTAGCTTTAGGGAGGTGCTGGTCTCATCATATTCTTCCCTGGTCAGACCCCATATACAGTATTGTGTTCAGCTCTGGGTGCAAGATTTTAAAAGAGAGACCATATTGATGTATCGGAGCATGTTGAACACAGTTGAAGTCTTATGAAGACTCAGTTGTAGGAACTGAAAATATCGATCCCAAAGTAAAAATAGCTTGCAAGAAAGGGCCCATAGTCTTTTGATAGCTGAAGGCCCAGTGTGTGGAAGGAGAAAAATCTTGGTCCTGGAGGTCAGGACAAAGACTTCACTGAAAGAGATCCTAGTGATCATGTAGACCAAGACATGAGCCCCTTCATGAGCATCTGTCCTCTGCTTTAGAGGCCTTTAATGATGCAGCATTTCACTGCCTCTAGTGGAAGCCCATTGAAGCTTTTAGGAAACTCTTTTTGGGATATTTCCTCCTTTTAAATATTGAGTCTAAATATGCCTCTAACATCCACCCTTTGGTTCTGGTTCTGGGGTCAAGGAAAGCAAACCTCAGCCCTCCTTATTCAACAGAATTAATTCTGTTTGAAGCAGGGCTAGGTAATCACGTGTTCCTCTCCCCAGCACCACCACCCTATCCAGACCCCCACTTTTTAGACTAAATATTCCTGGGTTTTCAACAAATTTTCTGGTGTTGATTTTTTAATCTCCTTATCACCCTCTTGATAAGTTAGAGCATATATTAGCCAGGGAAGCAGGATATGGGTGGATAAGAAGAAGACTTTCTTATAACCAGCACTGTCTCAACAGTGCCACACAATGTAACTGGGGGCCTTGAGAGACGGTCTTGAATCCTTTAGGAAGGTAACAATTCCATCATACTGTGTCGTGGTCAGACCACATCTAGTGCATTATGTTCACTTTGCAGTTTTATACATTTAAAAAGGTACATGGATCTGCCCCTCAGGGATACCAGACTTGAGCGGGAAAGGACCCCAGAGACCACTCACTTCTTTCATGGATGAGGCCCCTTAGTCTCCAGGGTGGGGTGACAGGCTGTAAGCCTCAGAGGTAGGATTTAAGCCCACGTGCACCACATTTATGCCACGTCACACTGGGACCCCCAGGCAGCATCTGATGGTACCGACAGGCTAGCAGTACAGATGAAGACATCATCCATAAAAGGAGGGCTTTGAGCTTGAGGATCTGTCTCTTTCATCCCTTTTAGCTTTCAATTTGTCTTCTGCAGGTGCCCATAAGTATCTGGGACACTTCACTTTTCTCTCCCTTAGTTGAGAGATCATGGGTTTTACAACCGGAACAGACCTTGGAAATTACATAGGAGGCCAAATCCCTCATTTCATACATGAGGAAATGAAGTCTGCAGAGCCTAAGGTGTAGCATGTGGCAGGGCCACGGCTAGAAACAGCTCTCTTCCCTCCACATCCAATTGTCGACAGACGTGTTCCAGCCAAGACAGAATGACCATCTGTCATACAGGGATCCTGGAGGGGAGGGGGAATTCCAGTGCTGGATGAGAGGCTGGATTCAAATGCTTCTAAGAATCCTTCCAGCTCCAAGTCTGGAATTCATTTATTTAAAACATTCTCAGCTTTTTTTTTTTAATAGACTCATTATTGTCTTAGCTACCTATAATCCAACACCCCTCTTCTGCGTGCCCCTGCCACTACCACCCCCGGTGATCCTGTTCTCATCCCCAAACTCCTATGATCATTTGTTCCATTTAAACAACATGCAAAAATCATTTGTACATCCAGTGGCAACTGGTTTACATATTAAGCTGTATGATTCTGGATGTTGGAATCAAAGAAGTGAGGTTTTTAATTAAATTCCTTCCTGGTGGTCGAATCCTGGTCAGACTTGTGCTTTAGAAAAATTTTGACAGACGAATGGAAGAGGAATAGGAATAGGGAGAGAGTTGAGGCAGGGAGATCATTAGAAGGCTATTGCTGTAGTCCAGGCAAAAGTTGATGAGGGCCTGCATAGGTAGAGGTGGTGGCTGTGTAAATAGAGAGACTTCTATATGGAGGATGTTGTAAAGGTAGAAATGGGATGTGGCCACAGGTTGGATGTGTGGAGTGAGGGAGATTCAGGAGTGAAAGATGGCAGCTTGGGTGAGTGGGAGGACAGTGGTATCCTCAACAGTAATAAGGAAGGGGGGAGGCTTTGGAGGAAAAGATAATGAGTTCTGTTTAGGACTGCTGGAATTTGAGATGTCTACAAGATATTCAATTCAAGTTGTACAAAAGGCAGATAGTATTGCAGGAACTCTGGAGTGAGATTAGGTCAGGAAATAAAGCTCAGGAGTCAGCTACCTAGAGGTGATAATTGAACCCCCTGGTAGCTGGTGAGAGCAAGCAAAATGGTACAGAGGGAGAAGAGAAGAGGGCCCAGGACAGAGCCTTAGGTTAGTGGGGGTGACTTAGGTGAAGATTCAGCAAAGGAAGCTGAAGAGCAGTAGACAGGTAGGTAGAGAACCAAGAGGGAGCAGTGGCATGAATGCCTGGAGAAAAAAGAGTGTCTAGGAGATGGTGCTCAACAAGGTCAATCAGGTTGTAGAGAGGTCAAGAAGCATGAGAATTAGAGTAGGCCATTCGATTTGGCAGTTAAGAGATCACTGGTAATTGGAGACAACAATTTCAGAAAAATAGTTTCAGTCAAAGGTCAGTTTGTAAAGGTTTTAGAATCAAGTTAGAGGAGACTTGGTCTAGTGTAGACAGCAAGGGGAAAGCCAAGGAGAGATAAAAGCCTAGACTCTTCTTTAGCCAAGACTAATGTGAATGGTTGGGTCAAGTGAAGGTTTTTTAGGAATGAAGAGACACAGACCTATTGAGGAACAGAGGGCCTCTCAGAGAAATCATTCCTAATTCCTCCTGGCCACTAGGAGGAATATTCTCTTAGGCTGCATTGATAGAAATGCATGGGCTACTCAAAGACAATGATTGTCACACTTAACTCCGCCCAGACCACATCTTCTCAGTTTGGGCATCCTCTTTAAGAGCGACTTTAACAACTAGAAGCTAAGGGCAAAGAATCTGAGGAATTAGTGAAGGAATTTGCTCCTGGAGAATTTGAGGGAGACATGATAGATGTCTTCAGATATTTGAAGAGCTCTCCTATAAGAAGAGTGAACAGACTGTGCGATGTTGTCTGTACTACAAGAATCCGTGGAAGAGTGTGAAGAGTGACAAGCTTAGGGAGTGCAGTCTCTCCTTTGACTGGGTTTCACTCAGCATGTTTGACAGTCTGATAAAGGGGGCCTTAGGCTGTGTAGCTGATGACATCTTTCTGTCTCTTCATCCACTCGGTGAGGGCTCTATTCCTCCCCTCCCGTGTACCTGTGACTCTCTCAGTGTTGTGTTGCGGTGGTGTTAGGATCACGGATGTAGAGCCTGGAGGGACTCTGGAAGCCAGCTCCCCCTTTTTAGAGATGAGGAAACAGGCCCAGGGAGTTTGTAATGTGCATTCCTAGAATAATCATAGGATGAGGGCATTCCAACCCTGCTTCTCTGACTCTCAGACATGGTGTTTTCACCATATGACACTGGAAATATTACTAGAGGGGCGCAGCCTGTGACACAAACCTTGTCTGTGCAAACTCGACTTTATCCCTAGCCGCTCTTGTCAGTGGAAATCTGTTTGACTTTAGAACTATTGCCCACACATCCACGTTGATGCTGGGGCCCAGCGGGACATTGAAGGGAGTGGTCCTTGTCATCGGCAGATTATCTGCAAAACAAAGTACAAGCTATGGGGGAAGCCTGCTTTTCAGCAGGCCAAGTGAAAAAGGGTGGGGAGATTTAAATGACCACAAGCTTTGATGAAAAGACCATGTAGTAAGCTAATGCAGTCTTGAGCTGTCTTAATAGAAGTAGATAATTCAGTCATGGGAAGTGATAGGCCCACTGTCCTCAGTACTGGTCAGACCACATCTGGGCTATTGTATTCAGGCTGAGTAGCTATGTTTTAAGTGGGGTTAACAAGTGGGAGAGTCCCGAAGAGGGAAAACAGGCAGCGTGAGGGGCTGGAGCCTGGAAACCATATGAGGAATAGTCGAAGGAAGTGGGAGCCTTGAACCCAAAGATAGACTAAAGAGATACATGACTCCTGTCTTCTAGAGACACCAGGAGCCCTTGTGTAGAGGAAGGCAGAGATGTGCCCAGCAAGTGGGCGTCATGGTCAGTTGGTGGCTCAGTCTGAGAAAGAACAGAACTGTCCACTAATGAAACAGGCCCCACCATTGGGGAGAAGAACTTCTCATCACTGCCTGTCTTGGGGCCAGGCTGGGGGACCAGGAATCCTGTTCAAGAAATTAGAGGGGATTGTGGAGTAGATAACTGAATCACATCCTTCTGGCTTTGGAGCAGCCGTGAAAAATGAGGGTGTTTACCCAGCACTTACAGGCCCTCAGAGGGCTTTCAGTACATGCTGGCTGCTGAACTTGGCAGCCCCTCGGTCAATCGGGCACTGTTAGGAAGAGCACAGCAGCCACAGCACTCGAAGGTTTGCAAAGCACTTTACACGTTCTCTCCTTTGATCGTGGCCACAACCCTGAAAGGGAGGCAGTTGTTAATGCTTGTTTTACAGATCAGGAAACTGAGGCAGACACAAGCCACTTGTCCAGAGTCACACAGCTAGTATGTCTCTCAGGTGTGATTTGAACTCAGGGCCTCCTGGCTCTCTTAGCTCACTGTGTTATCTAGCTGCCTCAGCTTTCTCCTAAGTAGTAGTGTCCCCATCTTACAGATCAAACATGAAGGTAGAGAGGTGAAGGGATTGAAATCACCCAAAGTCACAAAGCAAACAAATATCAGGTGGGATTTGTATCAAAGTCTTTTTGTCCAATTCACAGTCCAGCGCTCTGGCCACCACACTGGTTTGCTTTTCTTTTTCCCAGGGTTTCTCAGCATCTGCCCTTAGCCATGTCCCACTTCCTGGGGCCGGGCTGTCAGGGAGGGATAATGACGTCTCCCAGGCAGAATGCTTGAGCTGCGCTCATCTTCTTCCCTTCTCTACCCACCCCTGCTAGACATCTCACTCTTGCCTGGTGTTCCAGCCCATTCTCTGGCCAGAATACTCCTTCTGGAACCTCTGCGAAGCCATCCTGCAGTTCCAGATGAATCACAGCGTGTTGCAGGTAAGAGCCCCAGCGTCTGCCTGGGTAGAAGGTGAGGGAGGGGAGGAGCTGGAGCCCTCTTCTGTCCCCACAGAGGAGGCTTGTCGTCGCTGTGGCCCTCTGTTGCCTGAGCGAGTCACGCAGAGCATCAGCAGCTAGTGGCTCTTGAACAAAACCATAGACTTTCTCGGCCTGGGAGTTGTATTTGCTGTACCTCTTGTAATATCTAGGGAGGGGGTGGATGCAGTGGCTTCTGTGTAATTCAGACTCTTTGGTCCAAAAAGACAGTCACTGAAGGGATACGCTCAGGACAGACATCATGCTGCTTGGCCTAAGATGACTTGGTCTTGTGCAGTGAGCCCCACAATACTAGAACTTGGGGCCTTTCTTCAGTGTGCTTCACAGCTATCTCCTTCAGACTTGAAGGAAGTACAGTAACGCCTCATTTATTGAACATCACAGGGGAAGGAACTGTTCCACGTAAGGGAATTTTCCACCTAAGAGCTGAACCTTTCCATTTAAAATTTAACTTTTTTAAATGGAAATTGCTCTAAAATACATTACATGCTTCCCTGCCTTCTTAAACAGAGTATACTGTATACAATTTAACCCTTCTTGATGATATAAAGTCATCCTTCTGCTGTCACTCTGCCTGCCTCCAGCACCAATCTACATCTTTTCTGATTTGCCACTTCACATCCGCTGTAGTCTGGAAAGACTAGATAATCTAGCACATTAGAATTGTATCTAAAATAAAAGGCAGGCTAGGCTTTGAGTAAGGGAGGCCTGTGGAGCTTGCTTTTGAGTGAATAAGGAACATGGACTTTTTGGCAACAATTATGGCTATTGAATCTCCTCCTCCGTCCACCCCTGCCCCAGATCGGGACCCTATAGGTCCTTGGCACGCATTGTAATCCATTAAGCAGTCCAGCTCTGTGGCCAGTTCTCTGGTACCACCTGGCAGGGTTTCCAGGAGCAAACAAAATCCAGAAATAAATCAGTCCTCCTTAAAACCAGTAGGGCAATAGTCTAGACTGGCATCTGCTGGTAGCTTTGGCCAGGTTACATTGACCTAATAGGACAACAGCAAACTGTGGTTTTTGTGTGTGCCACAAGAGTTTTGAAGTGTCCTGACTGGATTCGGGGAGGAGGGATTGGCTGTCCACTTTCCAGGCCATGATTTTTTCTTGCCCCTGTAAAGGTGTGTTGGTTGACTCTCAGAAAAAATTACCTGTGAGCTTAATTAGTTAAGATGTTTATTGAGTGCATCTACGGTCACACTGTGGATATGGCAGTCGAGTGCAGGAATCTTGGCCTAGGAAGCAGAGGGCTTACCCTCAGCAGACCTGGGCCTTCAGAAAGTTGCCACTTTGCCTCTCTAAAGCAGTTTTCCTGCCCTCTAACATGGTGATAGTATTACCTGTCCAGTACCCTTCTCAGGGTGATTGGAAGCATCTAATGAGATAGGTCATGAGCATTTCCTGGTTGGGGGCCATGCCCCAACTGTTCCTGGCCCTCACACACAGCACAGTAATGTGAATCACGCTGTGATGCCTTTGGGAAACAGCACTGGCTGAAACCAATGTAAAACTTTACATCATTATGACCATAACTGAAGGGAGAGGGATAGAACAGTCATAACAGTAAGAACAACAACAATAATAACTCACATTTGTAAAGCATTTTAGTGTTTCAGATATATTCTTATTGCACCAACCCTGTGATTGATATGAAGGGTTTTTTAGGAATTTTTTGGTCCCAACCTATGATTTTATCCTTGTAGGAAATGTGTGGTATGGAAACTCCCTCTAACAAGGCAGATTGACAGCTCTGGTTGTGAGACATTAGAGAGTCTGGCCATGATAATATTACTAACATGTAGGAGAGGCAAGACTTGAATGCAGGTCTTCCTGATTTCAAGGCCAGCCCTCTGTCCATTACCCTGCACTGCCTATCACATACTCTTCCCATTTTATAGAGTAGAAAATTGAGGCCCAAAGATTAGCTGACTTGTCAGGAGGTACCCATTTACTGTCAGAGCTAAGAACAAGCCAGTTCTCGTGACTGTGAGTATTAATACTCTCTCCATGACTCTACCTCCAATACAAGGAAAAAACAATAAGTTTTCCCTACCTATAAGTTGTGAAATGGTTGTGAATCTGGTGAAATGTGAAATGACTTGTGCTCATAAAGAGATACTGAAAAACATGAGGGACTCTGTGATATCTGAATCCAAAAGAATAAGGTGCTATTTTTGCTCGTGCACCACTTAAATAGTGTAGCTTATATGTGTAAAAGAGAGTCAGGACACCTAGGTTCTGTTCTCAAGTCTCCCACTGTCTGGCTGTGTAACCTTGGAAAAATAATGTTTCCAATCTGGGCCTCAGTTTCTTCATCTGTAAAATGAAAAGAAGTGATAAAGGATTTTGAAGGAAGGTCACTTCTTGCTTGATTAATCAAGGAGAGCTTCATGGAGAAAGCAGAGCTTGAGTTGGGCTTTGAGATTAGCCAGGCCTCAGAGAAGTTGGAAGGAAGCAAGAAAGGCCATCTGGGCAGGTGTCCCATGAGCTCGATGCACAGGAGGAGGCAGGGAGCTGAACAGAAGCCACTGGGGCCCTCCAGGGGAGCAGTGAAGAAGATACAAGGTGCGCAGCCATGGGCACGAGGAGGGAGGGGAACGGGAGGAGCCATCAGAGACAGGATCTGTGTCAGCTTCTTGCCACATTCATTTCTGTGCACAAACTCTTCATCAAGGATTATAAATCTGTGGATGAGCCAGCTGGAGCAGGCTGGGAGCCTGAGCTCCTGCACGGTCTCTTCAGTGCCCTCTTTATGCTGCCCCTCCTCCTTAAACTGTGATCTGACTATGGGCCAGGTCCCTAAAGCAAGACCTTCTGCACCTTAGACATGGCGTGGCTCACCTAGACATCATCTCCCTCCCATGCCCAGCACAAGGCAGGTCGTACAGTTCATTCAGTAAATGCCAACATGACCACAGAAGATATTTACTACACACCTGTTGTGTGCAGGGCACTAGACAAGATCTGATCTCTGCCTTCAAGGAGCTTGCCTTCAAAGATGCTTGGTCGTTGGCTCATCCCTTTGTGTGGGATGAGTTTGATGCAGGAGAATAGCCACAGTGATTCAGAGTGAAATGACCTGGAAGGCCTGTTGGCCCAAAAGTTCTGTTAAGAGCTTCTTGGTAAAACCTTGATGTCAAAGATGTGCCTGTTTGAAGCAGGCAGAGCCATTTGGCTATTTTCTTAACGGCAAAAAAGTGTGAGTGACAATAGATTACTAGTCAGGGTCCTTTGTGTCCTCTTGAGTCCAGCACTATTCACCAGCTTCTAACCCAAAGGCCTCATCCAGTCCATGATCTAATCTTTCTGGGCTTCCATTTCTTTCTCTTAAAAAATGAGGCAGTGAAACTAGTGGACCTCTAAGGACCATTCCAATTCTTTAAAAAATTCTGTAATTCTATGTAAATGGCATGGATGGGTCAGTAAATAAATAGAGCCAATCAGTCAATCAACAAGCACGTTTAAGTGCCTAGGTATACTAGACACTGAGGATATAAATACAGAAGGGAGACTTCCTTCAATTCACTTATATTCTACTGGAATGACATTATAGATGGGGCAGAAAAGCCTCGAGGATTTGGACTAGTAGGTCAAAGGGTGCATCTGATTGAGCTCTTGGCTGCATGGTTAGTTGAAAGAGCAATGAATTTTGGAGTAGGAGGACCTAGATTTAAATTTTGGCTTTGCTACTTAGTACTTGCTACTTACTCCCTGACCTTGGACACATCAGCACAAAGGTGTTGAACTAGTTGACCTTCAAGGTGTCGTTGAATTATAAATCTGTGATTCTGTGACAGAACACTAGCTGTTTCAAAATAATGGTGGTGATGATGATAGCTCACATTTATATAGCTCTTTAAGGTTTGCAAAGCTCTTTGCATATATTAACTCATTTGATCCTCAGAACAGCCCTCTGAGGGAGGTACTCTTTGTCCCCATATCACAGATGAGGAAACAGAGAGGTCACATAGCTAGTCTGAGGGAGGACTTGAATTCAAATCTTGATCCGATTTGGCACCTAGCTGTCTCAGAAGAACTAATCTTGGCCGGCTTCAACTCTGAGCTATGTGATCTCAACCAAGTTACCTAATGGAGAGTGTCCTAAAGATCAAGTGAAATGGTGGGTGTAAAAGTGGAAAGCACTCTTAAGTGGGGAAATGTGATTAGGAAAAGAGGGAAGGAAGGCAGTTGACCTAACAGAACTAGTTTTCTATATGAGTCCGGTTTGGCAGAGTGAGGCGTTGTAACTGTCAGATTAGCAAGTGAATGCCCGATGGGGGATGGCAATAGGGTCTTGGTTCTGACCCAGCAGGCCTTTCTATTCACTTGTGCCAGGCCTTGACCTGAGTCCCCAGTCTTTGCTCCTGGAAAAGACATCCTGGCCACACCTTGGAGAATACCTAGTCCAATCCATGTAACACAAAGTATGTTTTAAATCTACATCATTTGGGGCCATTTGGGAGATAGAAGTATAGTATAGTCCCTACCTCTGAAGTTTATTATGTGTAGATCCCAATGCTTGGCTTTGGGCAATACCAAGAATATTATTTAAGATGGTCCTTGCCCTCAAGGAGTGTATAATCTAGTGTTCAGTCTAGTTATAATTTTAAAAAAATATGTGAATGCTGAGGTGGGTGGTATGGACAAATAGGGCATCAGGATCTCATTTAAAAACTCTGTGTTGTGTTCATACTCTGGTTAGGCACTCACCAGGCACTGAAGGGAGTACAAAGGTGAATAAATCACAGTCTGTGATTTTAACAAGCTTACAGTCCAGTAGGGAGCCATGATGAGTGATATAGACAGTAAATACCAGAGGAGTTCATTGATTAACAAATCTTAGCTGGCCTCCTTCAAGGCAGAGGCCCTGCCTAATGGAAACAACATCAGACCTGGAATCCAGGAGAGCCAGGCTTCAGGGTTCTCTCACCAAAAGAGGGAGCTAGACTAAGGTCTCTTCTCTGACATTCCATGAGTGTGCTCAGCACTAGACAGCAGCAGTGGCAGACTTGAATAGAAACCGAAATCTGGATACGAGAATCCCTGCTGGTCGCCTATTGACTTAGAAATTATTAATATGGCACCACATTAAAGTGAACTAAGGAGTGCTGTGGGCTGCAGGTTTGATGCCTCTCCTATGGAGGATTCAATGATGGGCAGCAGCTGATGGCGCCATTGCGCACAGAGCACAGGGCCTGGAGTCAGGAAGATCTTAACTACCTAGCTGGGTGACCCCGGGCAAGTCAATTAGCTCTGTTTGCCTCAGTTTCCTCACTGTAAAATGAGGACAATTATAGCACCTACCTCCCAGAGTGGTTGAGAGGATCAAATGAGATAATTGTAAAGCACTTAGCACAGTGCCTGTTTCACAGTAGGTGCTTACTAAATGTTTATTCCGCCCCCCCAGTGGACTTTGTAATTTAGTAGGGGAGATAATGCAGTAAGTAGACTAAGAGAGGTATAAACATAATTCTAGAGGAATTCAGAAAAAGGAAAGAACTAGGAGTTGGAGCTTTAGAGAAGAGCAGTATCATGTCAGAAGAACACTGGACTTGAAATCAGAGGCCTAAAAACCAGGGCGCTGACACTGACCCTGAACAAATCTCCTAACCTACCTGAACCATATTTCCTTCATCTGTAAAATAAGGCAATAATGCCGTACCTTCTCCCAGCTAGTTGTAAGGCAGGTGGTTTGTCTATTAGAAGGGCTATTTCACTGCTGCCTGGTGGCACCTGAAGGATAAGTTTAAATGGAACAGGCAGAGATGGGATTGGAAGGAGGGAAGCGAGGCAGTGCCTCAGCAGCCCGAGCTGTGTGGTGCTTCCCTTTCTTCTTTGTTGGGTCTCCCTGCTGATGGCACGCGGAGGTTCTTGCCAGCGTCACTGAGCTGTCCCTAGCACTTGTCCTTATCTCCCCTGATCCTCCCTCTGCTGCACCACCCCCCAGGTCACCCTGAGTCCAAGACCGGCTCTCACTTCTTGCCTTTGTTGACCAAGGCAGCCGCCCTATTCATCCCTGTGCCCTGCTTGAATCTTATCCATGCTCCCTTTCTCCTGCTTATCTCCGGCAGAAGGCCAGAGAGATGTATGTGGAGGAACGGAAGAGGCAGCAGCTGGAGAGTGACCAGGCTGCAGTGACAGAGCGACTGCTCCGGGAGGGCTGTGAGCCCAACAGGGACAGCCAGCTTCGGCGCGTTCTCTTGCACAAACGCTCATCAGGACGGGAGGAACGCATACAAGGCTTCCTGCAGGCTCTGGAGCGAAAACGTGAAGAGTGGCTGGCACGCCTGGGCACAGCATCAGCATGAGAGGGCAGACAGCCCTCTCGTGTTCCTGCTCGCTGGCCAAGGGCCTGATCCAGCATTCCTGAGGAGAGTCAACTTGAGTTTTGATAATGAGATTTGCTGTAATCCTGGGAACAGGTGCAGTGGGGATTGGGCCTTTTTGCCCAGCTAGATTCTTTGTCAATTGATGCTCTTTGTCCAGCCCCCACAGAGGGGTTGGGTAGAGATGACAGACAGTGAATGTCCACCTGTCTCTCCAGACCTGTCACCTGAGCTGCTGGTGACCAGTCTTCCTTATCTCCCAACAAACATCATCTCTCCCCTTGGTATGGGGCTTTTTCATATGTGGTTGTTTGGCTGTAGAGCACTACTCACTGCCATGGTGCCCAGCCCAGCCTGCCACCCCACTACCTCCATGCCTCTGTTTTCCTAACAACAGGTTTTAGTTCACTTTGCATTTGACAGCAGAAAGCTGGAAATTGTTTGGGGGTTGGGGGTAAGGAGAGAATGGAAAGCTAGCCATCTGCTTCCCCTCATGAACATTTCCACCTGAGCTCTGCTATTGGATCTTCCCCCACTCCTGGCTTGTCAGGCAGCCCCGATTGCTCTGCTGAAAACCTGGGCTCCTCCAATGGTGGAACTAGGCCTATGATGACAATCCATTTACCTGTTGTTGACTCAGCCCACACACACTTTCCTCAGGCAGGGTCTTGAAGCCAGCCTCTCATCCCTGCTAGAGCTGGTCCTCTTAACTTGGCTAACTGGGAAGAACCAGTATGTCCATTTGACTGGGACTCCCCTTCCATCTGACATATCAAGGCCAGCAAGCAAGGACACCTCTTCCCTGTTGGCTCCGATATCCACCTCCCTTGGCCTCATTGATAAACACAGCTCGTGTCTGACCCATCTTGGAAAAGCTCCACTTGGTAGTAGTTCCTGTCTTTCAGCCTTAATGGGGTGGACCCCACAGTATGAACCAGAGGGAAGGGTCAGGGGCTATGTCCTGCCTTTCGCTCTTCTTGCCCTACCAGGACCCGCAAAGCTGCTTAGAGGATTACCAGCTTGGCCCCTTGGCAGCTTTGAAAGGGGCTGTCTTGCCTGAGCTCCTGTACTTCAGGTGCTTGGAATAGCAGCAGACATTATAAAGCTGTAATCCTATCCTGATGCCAGACACTCTCGTTTCTTCCTGGAGATTTCCAGACTATTTCCTACAGGCCTGTCAATGGGTGTCTTTTTTCCCAAATGCTTAGCCTATAAGTATCTTTACTGTCATGGACACTTTTGGAATCAGGCATTTCCTCCAGAAATATTAAGGCTACTAACCACTACCTTCCCCCCTCCCCCAGACTTAGTGTTGGCACAGGGTTCCCAGCAAGCAGGTGCTATGTATTTCCCAGCCTTAAAATGGGGCTGTTGACAGCTTTAATTAGGGAGCCATGAATTATAATGCTGTAATTTGGAGCCCTACAATTAAGCGAGAACAAGGGGCTGGAGGCAATGAACAGAATTGGCCTCTAGATGAGCTTGACTGACATGAAGAATAGTGCAGTCCTGTTTCTCGACCTGCCTAGATTGGTCAAGATTGACTTGGGTTACAAGGGAGGATGGCCCAGGTGATTAATGGAGCTGGTATCCTTAATTGGCCATCAGTCTTTGGGTTCTGGGAAAGGTGTGTGGGGTGGAGCAGGGAGGAGTTACACCCCAGGGCACCTTGGGATGCAGCAATGAGCTTGGAGAAAGAGACCACAGTTGCAGTCTGGAGCAGGAGCTGCAAAACATAGGTGGTTTGAATTTGTACTGTTGTGGCTACACCTTTGTTGCAAGGAAATGGTGATCTCCACCCTCACCTCTTTATCAAACTCCAGACTTAGAAATCAGATGGTATCTAATTTAAATGGCCCTCCCTCCCTGTATTCTAGCCTCACTCTTCTCTACCCCCATTTATTAATCTGTGGCCTCCTGGGCTTCAAATACATTAAAAAGGAGTATCTGCCTCACCTCCAGAAGTTGTTTGCTACCTAGTGCAATGGGAGGCTTTGCTTATAGGGTGACAGTAGCTACTTCTCCAGATTTCAAGTCTCCCTTTTGTGGAGTGTCATTGGGAGCACAGAAAACGCCCCTTTCCCTTTACAACCCGTTTCCCTGTTTGCTCTCTAGTCCCTTGGGTCCCCTGCAACTCTTCTTTGTGCAGGTGTTTTGGATAGGTTTAAAAAAAAAAACCGGGGCTGGGGAGTATAAGAAGTTACCAATCATTTTTGCTGTGCCTACATAGATTGGTCCTGCTGGGACAACTTGAGGTAGTTTTTCACAGAGTGTGGCAGGTTTTTTGCCTTCAATCCTGTACTTTGCAGGACGAGAGTGACTAGAGGGGCCACGGTGGGGGGTGGGGGGATGTTTGTGGGGCGGCAACTGGCCATGAAGGAGGGTGCTGAAAGGACAGCTCCCATCTGGCCTACTTGCCGGGTTCCACATCACCCGAATAGTACGGTTCCGCCCAGCCTGGAACCCCTCTCTGCTAGGGGAAAAGACCAGCCTCCAGGTAAGTTGTCTGGGAGATGTGCGCGGAGCGGCGGCTCCGAGAGCTGCACGTCCGGCTGCACCAAGCCGTATCCTCCACTTCGTTCTTTCCCTGCTTCAGCGCTGTGTGCATGCGAAGCAGTGGGAGCAGCGCAGGCTGGTGGCTTGGGCGCTGCCAAGCTGCGCGCAACAAGCCGCTGCCTTCGGAGGAAACTCGCAACCCCCACCCCTGGGGCCCCCTGGCAGGGGGGAGGGAATCCAGAATGTGTCCTGGGCATTGCTTGAAAACGAAGTAGTTCGGTTGCATAAGGTGGAAGGAACTTAAGAGTTTGCAAAACCAAGCTTAGGCGGGATTCCAAGCCCACCCCTCTTGCGCCTCGTATTTAGCGCGCGCCTCCCTAGTCTGCCTAGTGCCCCCCGCCCCCACCGCGCGCAGTCGCCTCGCGCTCCCCCCTCCAATCTCGCCCCATCCCCTCCGAGGAGGTGAGTTTAAACCCCGCCCACGTGACCCCAGCTGGGCCAATGAACGGCGGCGGGAGGTGAAATCCGGTTCTAACCGGTCCGGGGCTCCCAGCGCTATAAAAACTTTATAAACCCCCCCCCCGGAGCCCAAGCAGTGTGAGGAAGAGGAGACGGGAGCGACCCCCGGACCGGCCGCTGCCGCCGCTGCAACTCGCGCCCAGACTCCGCTGCTGCCGTTGCTCCCGCCCCTCCACCGTCACCACCATGCCCAAGAGAAAGGTACGTGGCGCGGGGGCCCGGCTCGGGCACAGAGCCGTGGCCGCCACCGCCGCCTCCCCTTGGGCTGCTGGAGGCGAGCGGGCGGGCCCGGGGCGGGAGGCCGCGGGGCCGGGCAGAGCGCGGCCTCTCCTCGCTCCCGGGCTCCGGCGCCTGCGGGCGGCAGGGGCCATATTGGAGGGGCCGCCGCGGCGGCGGCGGGAGGAGCCATGTTGGCGGCTGTTGATCCTGCTCCCCCTCAGGGACTGTCATCATCCTCCCGCCGGTCTCGAGGGCCCGCGCGACCCCGCGCGCCGAGCCCCTTCCCCTCCGGGCAGGCAATTCAAACCCGAAGGGCGGGAAAGCCGAGTCGCGCGCGGGGCGAAATGGAATGGGGAGGGGAACGGGAGTGGGGCGGGGGAAGGGGAAGGACGCGCTGCCGCCAAAAAACCGCCGCGCGGCGGGGAAGGGAGGGGCGGGGCCAACCGTCCCCCTGCGGAGGCGGGGCTTGCACCACGTGCCCGCGCCCCGCCCCTAGGCGCGGGGCGGTGGAGCCGGAGTGGGACGCACTGAGCGGCGGCCGCCCACGCCCCCCTGGCCCGCGCGCGCCGGGGGTTTATTATTCTCTCTTTCCACCCCTTCCCCTCTCCCGGCGCCAGCCGCTCTGCGCGCGCGCTCCAGCGCTCGACGGGTGCCATGGAAACGGGCACCCGGGGCCCCTCCCCTCGGCGGGGGCGGGGGAGGCGGAAGAAGGGGGTTATTTGCACCATCTGCAGCTGTTGCTTGTGCCTTTCGCGGAGACACCCAACCCTGGCGGCTCTCCCGGTGGAGGCGGCGGTCCCTGGGTCCTCCCTGCGGCGGGGCCCCGGGGAGCCCCCTCCCCCACTAACAGCCTCTCCCCGCCCTCTTTCAACAGGCTGAAGGAGATGCTAAGGGAGACAAGACCAAGGTTAAGGACGAAGTAAGTTGGTGTCGCCCCCTCGGGAGCCGGGGCGGGGGGAGGGCCGGGCCGGGCCGGCGGCGCGCTTGGTGACCCAGGCCTGCTGGAGGGGCTCCTCGGGCTCCTCCTCCTCCGCTCCCGAAGGTCGCCGATGGCAGCTCTAGCGGCGCCTGCTTCTTGGGCCGGTCGGCCGTGGCGCGCTCCGATGCGGCTCTTCTCATTCTTACCGCTTACTTAACTCTGTTCGCTTCTTTTCACTAGCCACAGAGGAGATCTGCACGGTTATCTGCTGTAAGTACCTTTTCTCTTTATGTTCTTGCAAGGCTGGAATAGTTAAGAAATTAATTTTATGTTGAATGAAGCTTACTTAACTATGACTTACTAGTAACTGGTTGAGGTGGTGCTCTCTTGAGCTTCTGCCCAAACTGGACATTACACACTTGTCCAAAACACTAGACCTTCCCTTGGGCCTTTAAGGGAGAATAACCTGAAATAAAATTGGTTGGGGGATTTCAGGGGAGACCAGGGGTTTCAAATGAAAGATAGAACGTGGTAGTTCTGAGTTGTTGTACATAGTCTATAGTTCAAGTTTAATTTCAGACCCTTTTTTTCTCCCATTTTGAAATTAGAAACCTGCTCCTCCAAAGCCAGAACCCAAACCCAAAAAGGCACCTGCAAAGGTAAGTTGGTGGATCTGTTGGGGAAGAGAGGGAGAAAAGAAAATCAAGGAATATTAGAAATGGAAGGAACTTTCAAGGTCTAGTCCAGCTTTGTGATTTTTCTCTTGAAATTTGAGGCTTAGAGAGGCCCGGTTCATAGATGTTTACTGTATTCTTGACATTTTTTGTAAAACTAATCAAGTTTTCCCTAAGCAGAATTTTCACCAAGACCTTGACCAGGGTTATCTGATTAGATTTGATTCATTTATGTATCCATATTTAAGCTGATTAGGATCATTGTGATAATATATTGCAATCTGAATGTTTATATATTCAACTCAACACTTAGGGCTTATGGTCATTGTGCTAGGGGAGGTAACAAAGATAAATATGGTCAGAGCTGCTTTGATGGAGTTTATAGAGCCAAGGAGGCAAGTGACAAATGCACTATGATGGCTGATAGTTATTTCATGCCAGTTATTATCCTCTTTAATCAACTTGTCTAGGGTCATAGCTGGGAGAGAATAGAGCTTTTGGACCAGGTTCTCTCACAATGTATCTGTATATGCTTTATTATGCTGTAGTGGAATGAAACTGTATTACAAAAGATTAACTAGGAGATTCCATCTGCATGCATTATGTAGAAGTCCTAGTCCGCACTTATCATTGGTGAGTTTTTTCTAACATTCTGTGAATTGTGAATTAGCGGTACCCAAATCTTTGTTTTTTTTACTAGAAGGGAGAGAAGTTACCCAAAGGGAAAAAGGGAAAGGCTGACTCCGGTAAGGATGGGAACAACCCTGCAGAGAATGGAGATGCCAAAACAGACCAGGTAAAGTCTTACTCATTTAGCTAGTTACTGACCTCGGAGACTATCGATTACATTTAATGGCAACAGCATGATCTCATTGGGATCTGAACATTTTGTATCCTCCAGTTAATGCAGTTTTTCCTTCTGCCCGTTTTAAAGCAGGAATTCACTGAACTGACGTTTTAAGTTGCAATAAGAAATTTGCTCCTTCACTGCCATGTGTTGCCAGCTGTCCCAAAGACTGCTGAGAATATTGCATGCACCTCGTAGATTTTTGCCCTCCACTCCAGAAGCATCACTCATAAAATGGTAAAAATGTTAAGAGCCAGAAAGGACATCAAATAACATCTACTCTAACAACATTTTACAGGTGAGGAAACTGAGGCCCAGAGAGGGGAATTACAACCTGTGGAGCTTCGAGCAAGGCACACTGTCCATTTCTTGGCCTCAGTTTTCCTCATCTCTAAAATGGGGGGAGTAGACTAGATCTTGAAGGTTCCTGATAGCTCTGAATCTGACTAGGTCACATAGTAACCCTTAATTGAATTTTAAATAACAACAGTCAATCTCTTTAAATCACCTAACAATGCTTCTTAACTAAAAATTGGAAACCTGGTCATGGGAGGGAAGAAGAAACATGCTGAAAGGAATAAAATAGGTTTCAGGCAGGATTAATGATTAGTCAGTTGTTCACATATAGATAGTTAAATGTGTAGGGCTTTTTATCATTTGCAAAGTGCTTTTTTCACAGTAGCCCTGTGAAGGAGATAATGAACAATTTCCATCATAAGAGTTGGACCAGCTCATGAGACAAGGGCAGGGATCTGCCCAGGGGCATGCAGTGAGTTAGTGCCTAGATAGAACTCTTACTCAGATCTTCAGTGAACCTGGTTGCCCACCACGCCCATCCATGCTATTAATAACCATTTTCTTTTTCTTTCAGGCACAGAAAGCTGAAGGTGCTGGAGATGCCAAGTGAATTGTGTGAATTTTTGATAACTGTGTACTTCTGGTGACTGTACAGTTTGAAATACTATTTTTTATCAAGTTTTATAAAAATGCAGAATTTTGTTTTACTTTTTTTTTAAGCTATGTTGTTAGCACACAGAACGCTTTGTTGTTGTTTTGGGGAAATGGGGCAGATGTTACAGATAGGATGTCTCAGAAGCTGGGTTGAAATGGGTGGGGATTTCTTCTCCTCCTAGTTTTTCAGAGGACTTCTCTTGCATACCAAGAGAAGGCATGCGCGCGCGCACACACACACACACACACACACACACACCACACACCCCCAGATACATACATACAAACACTGATACCCTCAGCCTGTCCGGTAGGGTAGGAGTGGGTAACTTCAAA